TATTCCTCGTGGGTTGCTGTCAATAGGTCAAATACAGTGTAGTTCAAAATAATTGGTTTTGCCTATTCATACCAGGTATTATGTGATACATGATGGAAGTATGCCTTGATATGAAACTCTGTATGAAATAGCAAAGGGATCACTGTGTCGAACCATAGGGTAGCAATTAAAAGCAATTAGTAAAATATGAACCCCCTAATACCACCCTCTACCTCTTTGAAAAGGTGTTACATGAATGCTGCCTCACACCTCTGCACGTGGCGATGATGCTCCGTGCTTCTTTCATCGACATGCCTTCAGAATATGTTTCAAATATCATAATCTGTATCAGGTTTGTATAAAAAAGCTCCAGGGAACCCCTCTATGTCAGCAAACAGAGGAAGATTCTTGGCACTTTACATATTTTTATGTTTCTAAAAACTTTAAGGTTATGTTTTGGTTTAGTAACTGATCAGATGTCTTGGTGTAATTAATGTAAGGCGGTCAGTCGAGGAATATCAAACATTCAGGAGATCAATGTAGAGTTGTCTAACTTAACATATGATTCCCTTTACTCTCTGAGCTTAACACATCTTGTACATACAGGGCTGGGATTCCTCAGATATGTGGTGATTGAATTTGATGGATTCAAAGTGTCAGAACAAGTATTGCAGGGTACTGGGATAGCTCTTTGTTTTATGTTGTGACACTGATATGAACTGAGTATATCATAATAGTCGTACAGAAAATGCGGTGAAAAGTTGATAATGCGGAATTATTTTCACCTCATAATAAATGACTCGAATCTCTTAATTGATACTTTATATATTATACTATTCATTTTGGAGTTCCTAGTTACTTTGTTTACCATTTTTGCACTTCAGTTCTTCGGACACTAAGATAAGTTGCGCTTTCATTTTAATTCTAATTCTCTTATGGTAGTTTAAAATGAACATTAATGTGATGTTTTTATCGAAACACATGGTTAAAGGGGAAAATGTGTATTTTGTATTCAACTTGTTTTATGCAGGGAATTTATGATTCTGATGGGAATATTATTTAAATGATCAATGCTTGCAGATCGTCTTAAATAGTAATGTATGTCCAATTACTCCAATTTACAAGATGGAGATCTGAGGGGAAAAAAAGCAGAGGCGACATTGTAGGGTTTAAAAAGAAATAAGGATAATCAGTAGACAATTTGTGTAATTACTATCTATCTCTAGAATTCAACAGCAACATCCTAAGCACTGCTCAAGGAGTTTGTGCTTAGGTGAGGGAAAATGGTCTCCACGTGAAATCCACGAGTCTGCGTAACGATGATTCATGATGATGATGGAGAACGCCATCAATCCGGAGAGCTTAGCACATGAAGAGGATGGAAATCCAATTTAAATTCCTAAAAATTTGGCAGGGATTTTAATCACCTTGACCCCTTCCGCAAAGGTTAAGACTCTACCGGAAATTATGTATTATTGACAGTCGATGTGATAGGCCCCATAAAATGGTATTACATTGAAATAAAATTCCTTTAAATGATATTTCGGTATGATTTTGGATGGATTAATTTATTCTTGCTTTAATTGAGATCATGATGTTAATGGATTAACCAAAAGCTTGTTGTGGAAATAACAAAATAACATAAACTGTCAATAAATCAGAAAACAAGTAGACCTTTTGATGAAGTACCGGTATACACATGTATCTGCCATTGATGAACAGATTTAACACAAGGATTGTTAAATAGCTGCGGGGAACTTTGGTTTTACCAATAACTAGATCGTCTCTTTACTGTAACTTTTGTTGATTTGTTGGTTTTATTGTCATCGATAACGATTTCAATTTGAAATAGAAAGTTTGACAGTAAGAAATATATTTCTCGAGTTTGCAGACATATATAGGCTTTTTTCGTTTAATTAGGCATCTCATGAACATCGATTTTCGTTTTCAAGATTCGGATATTGATTTTAGCATAAGACAATCCTTCGCATATTTTTGCTCAAGATGTTCCAAGAAAAATGTTTGTGAATCGCATAATGAAAAGCCCTTGTAACTTAACCATATCTTCGAAATTTTCATGAATATATGCACTATATAATGCAAGTAGATGTACCTGTATTTATAATTGACAATATCGTCTTTGGCAGTTTTATTCTTAAAATGAAATACTATTAGCCGGTACTTCTCCAATCTAAACAATTAAAATCTATCTTGATTTTGCATTTATTCTCCATTAGATATGCAGAGAAAGAAACGTGTAAACAGAGATTTACTTGTATGTAGAATTAACAAAGCCATCTGACAAAAAAATAATCACATCCGTCCTTTATTTTCCATGTGTAAGTAGACAAAAATGATTATAATTTGTATGTTATCATAATAATGCGTTTCGTAAATTGTTGATCTATATGAACTAATCGAAAGGAATCAGCCATGAGTCGTAAAATTGGTTAAAAGTCGTTTATTTTATGCTTTAGAGATGGTTCATGCAAAGCATACATCCACATTGCGTTTTCCGAAACAACTAATATTTAATAATGTCGGAATTAAACGGCTTGAAATTTCTTTGGTAAGTGAATATTTTTGATTGCATAGATTAAAGTAGGCGCCGTTCATGACACCATGTTGACATATTACTTGTCGAGTTCTTTGGTGAAAGATGCCACGTAAACTCTGGATTGTTTACAGAGAATCTCACCTTCCCTATGTTAGTTTTGTACGCATTAGATTTAGCAGATGATACTTTTCTATCATTTTCTTCAATGTATAAACATTCTAAAACCTCCTGGCATTCCGAAAATGAGTTTAAAAATTCTATTTATGCGATGAAAGATTGCATTAATGAGCTGATTTTCTAACATGGAGATAATAAGTAACAGAGTTTCGCTTCACTGATACAGAGATAAATACTAGTACGTACAATACATAAGGTCCTCACTGTTACATACATAAACTCCACAATACATCAAATAACAGGACGTTTAGACTCCACAATATCTTCACTGTTATTTGCATGTCTGAGAGGTAGAAAACATGCAGGGAATAGATTGGAAGTATCATCTTTGTCCAATCTCGCCTACAATCTAATACATTCATTATAGCATTAATTATTTGGCGGCAATTTGCTTCGTAATATGCAAACATGAAAGAAGAATCATTATTGAAAAGAAATAAAAACATGATAAAAGTGTACTTTAGGTTAGAATGATGAAAAGATAATCACCTCTTTTCAAATCACGTAAAACCGACTTATTTCATAAAGTGCAACTGACGCAAAAGTCTTACATTGTAAAACAAAGGTCATTGGCTTGTACTCACCAAAACCTTGTTCGAAAAGTCATGCTGATGGGTACGTAATAAGGGATAAGCTTTGTGACGCAATGAAAATCTGCTGTGGTGACAAAAATGCACTGTTGTAATGCATTAAAAGCAAAAATGTTTAAATTCAGCTTTGTTTTGGTACATTACAGATCAAAAGTTTTTAAGCAAGAGGCAGGTACACATCCATACATAAATATATGTATTCATTACAGATGAATTTTTGCACCAGCCAAAATCAAAAGCGTGAAAGATATGTAAATCCGGAAACTAATCAGTGTTGGATAGCCAGAATTAAGTGGTTAAGGAGCTAGTTAAGTCAATCTTGTTGAATTTATTTACAGAGCAGAAATATTTTGTGATTTTTTGGTTTCTCTTTTCCATGTGTTTAATAGCTTTCTCTGGATAATGATCTTGAAAATTTACTGTGAATTTCATCTTGGGGAAAGATTTCTCAGCTCAGCACCATAAGCTCAGAGGCCAATAAAAAAACATTCACTAGACATAAAAAGCCTACCAAAAACAATTTCTTGGTCCTCAAAGACAAATAAATCACATCTATAAGGAATATATCTAATTTAGTTTTAGTTTCTTGACTTTTTAAATGTCCCTTGCTGAATTGCTTTTATAGGTTTGCTTGTGTATCCATTGTTGGATTTATTTATTGGAAAAAAAGACTCTTTTGATCATTCGCTTCCCATTAAGTAAAAAACGGGAAAAAAAATTATCTAAACTTTACCGGATTTTCAGCAATTATTTCCCTTCTTAAAGTTTGATGACCTGGTAGAAGCTATAAATTGATATTGCGCAAGATACCGTATACAAGTTTCCATAGTTCAGTACTATTGAGTTTGTTTCAATTTTGAATTAAAATGTCAAACGCTTGTGAAACCTCTCTCTGAAGTTTCTCGCTCTCTCATTATCTACAACCTAACTAGCTGCAGAACTGTAGCTCGCTGGTCTGGAAAAATCGGGATGGAATACCAGAGAGCTACAGTGCCACCCATTTACACTTTTTTCGATGGGGTAGCTCTCTGGTCGCTACAGATCTGCAGCTACTAGCTTACGGTTGTACATCTTTGCACAGGGACGGAGTGAAGTGATCTCTGTGTGTGTGTGTGTGTGTGTGTGTGTGTGTGTTACATTATCTGCCAGCTCAGGTATTCGCTGACGGTTATACGATCTTTAAACAGGGTCAAATAAATATAAGGATTGATGAAAAACCAGCAGTGGACATTTGGCTTGATAAGTTAGTAACAGTCATATTACACCTGTATCCATATACTCTGGTTTTTCTGCAGAAGTACCCTATCGAAATGAAATTGTTGTATTTTATTCTTTAATACTGATTTTTTTTCTTTGCATTTATCTTTAGACTTATTTATCACATTGCAGATGTTCTTTTATGTTTTCCAGTCGTTGGATTTATCAATCGTCCATGTTTTTTTTTTAATTTTTTTCTTTTTCTTGCAAAAACTATTTGCAATCACAAATTGGAAGGAACCAATTTGCAATCATTTTTTTTTCCTTGTTAAGATATCGTCCATTTTTTTTTAAATTGATGAAACCGATAAAAAGAACATAATTTTAAATGTTTATTGTTCATCCTTTGTGATGCTGATGTGTTTTTCTAGATGTTATGATTTTAGTTATCAGTATTGTTTGATAAGAAATGACTAATGGTTTTTATTTCTTCCCTGCAGGACGAGGTCAACCAGGTGCTTACTACTAGTGTATGGTTAGAACAGGTATCTATCCATTTTATATATTCTAGTGTATGGTTAGAAGAGTTATCTAATCCATTTTATTTTTTTTTTCTAATAATGGCTGGTTGAACAGGTATTTACTCTATGTATTTCATTTTTTTTCAACCAGGTGCTAACTACTAGTGCATGGTTAGAGTTGGTATAAATCTGTTGTTTTTTTTTTCTACTAGTGTATGGTAAGAACAGGTATCTATCCATTTTATTTTGTCTACTTGTTTATGGTTAGAACGGGTATCCATCCATTTTGGTTTTTCTTATCACCATCTTGTTTTTGATGGGTTTTTTTACTCTACATTGTTGATCTTAAAAGCACTTACTGACTTACTGTATGTTTACTACTATTTTGAATTTATTTAAAATGGTGCCTATCACAAACAAAAAATATTGAAGTACATATATGTGTACGTAGATTCAAGCGCCCGATTTGCAATATACATTATTTTCTCAGAAACAAAAGTTCTCTAAAATCATCATCCTCGGTATTATCATTGTTATAATTACTGAACATTCTTAGATTTTCTTTGATCACTTTTAGGCATTTCCTTTGTGTCAATCAATTGTCAGGTAATATATATCAGATTTGATAACCAATTTTATTACGTAAATAACTATCTTATCTAAGGAAAAAATAAACAAATGTGAAGCTATTTTAAGCATTGGAAATGTTAACAAACTGAGATGAAAACATGATAAACTAAAATTGTAAGTACTATATTCTTCCTCTAATCATTAAAAGGGGCTCACAATTTCAATCTTTTTGCATTTAAACAAACACATTTTGTCCAAATTACATCATTGTAAGTTTTTTGCGGTTGGAATTAGCAATTAGTCATGATTTTCAACAGAAACTGGGTAATAAAAACCAGGCTTGTGTATGGAAACTTTTTTTCCTACATACCGTACTTAATTATTGTGAAACATTATATGAGGACCCATTCAAAAGCACATGTATTTTTACGAAAATGATGTTGATTTTCTTTATTTTGCCAATTATATATGCTTAAAAAAGAGATATTTCTGCCTCAGATATATATATATTGGTCGTTGCATATTCAAGTTCATAAAAATATTGTATTAGGTAAGTGATTATAAAACATTTTATTTAAATTAAAGGAGTGATCTACTGATTTTAAACAAATAATTTTTCTCATAAAAACGTAAAAGATATCACATTGCAATGTAACTCATCATAAAATACAAATTGAAATATTGGCACGAAACCTGATAATAACATTGTCCTAAGGTTTATCATATTTTTTTATTATAGCAAAAAAAAATTTAAAAAGTGTAACACCCATTTTAAATAAGATTTTTAATACCCTTGCATCATCAAATAACTTGTCAGTAGCCTGCATCATTTTGGAAATTGTTCGGACATGGGACACTGTTCAATCAGTTGTGAAACATAAATCCCATGTGCAGTTGATAATGGTATATTGCTACACAAGTAAGTGACGTTCACGGTAGAAAAGTTGAAGTTTATCTTAATGTTATTAGTTTTTCCATCAATGTTTAATTTCTCTTCTAAAAATCCAAATATGAAATAGATATGTCAGCTTTTGGTGTCTTTTATATCGAATAGTGAAGAGTCAAGTTTCCTAAAAATCGAAACGCGGTGGAAACCTATGGGAATCGTGACATCAGTGGTTTCCGTATAGTTGCTTTTTTTTTAAAAAAAGAAAGCACATAGTGCTTCCACATTGATTCTTCACTAGGAAATAATTGACCTGTGGTTTCCTAGCAGTTTTCCGAGAAGAGATCCTGTGGAAATTTATCTGGTAATTTCCGGTACGTTTTCTGTTGTGGAAAACTGTGGTTCCCCAAGATGGAAGCTTTGAAAAGGTCAATTTATTCTTGAAAGTAGGTCAAAGGTTAGGTTTAAGGTCTCAAAATCTGCAAAATCATTTGTTATGAAATATCTAGATGTTTGTATGTTGTTATTTTTCAACCTAATTTTACCTACGAAATATTTCAGTACTACCTTTGGTAGCTTAAAAATCGTATATCGAAATCTTCAGAGATATATATCAAAAGAAAAGGTACATTAAAGTTATAGTCATAGCCACAAGGTCAACAACCTTGAACCTTTTTTTTTTTTTTTTTGCAAAATCATTTAAACAAGCAATATACATACATCTATAGGTAACTTATTTGACCCTTCCTCTTATGATTCAGAAGACAAATGGACAGATAGACGTATGAAAAATTTATTTCCTAGGTGTCGTCCCGTTTTGCAGGTGACACCAAAAAATAAAAGAACTTCTATATGAGTGCTAGCCATATATACAACTAAATTAATTTGTAAAATATATTGTAATATTTGTACTTTATGTGTTGAATACTACAGGAATGGCAAGATGAACGCCTGATTTGGGATCCTTCAGATTATAATGGACTTGAGACTTTGCGTATGCCATGTGACAAAATCTGGCTTCCAGACATTGTGCTATACAACAGGTAATCTTTGTCGTTTAACATAAAGATTTCCACTGTCACAATTTTTTTTTCTGAATTTACAAGTAACTTACATTTTATAGATAAAAACTTTACTTTTATCAGTGCTGATGATTACACTTCGGGATATATGCAAAGTAAGGCAATGGTTCGTTATGATGGGAATGTCTTCTGGCCTCCTCCAGCTAAGTTCCGCAGCTCCTGTAAGATCGACATCACATTCTTTCCTTTTGACGACCAAATCTGTAAAATGAAATTCGGTTCCTGGACTTATGATGGATTCCAAGTGGATATAACAAACAGAACCGCTCAGGTCGACCTGTCAAATTATGTCTACAGTGGGGAATGGGAACTCATCTCAATTTATGGAGTTCGAAACGAGGTCATATACCAGTGCTGTAATATTCCATACCCGGATGTGACGTTTACCATAATCATGCGCAGAAAGACGCTATACTATCTGTTTAATATTATTTTCCCTTGTTTGTGGCTGACGATTTTGAGTTTACTTGGTTTCTGGCTGCCCCCTGACAGCGGAGAAAAGATCACACTTGGCATTACTGTCTTATTAGCTTTCTCTGTGTTCATGCTACTCATTGCTGAAAATATGCCAGCAACATCCGAATTTGTTCCTCTGATTGGTAATTATCATTTTAAAGAATGTCGTTAGTTACAATATCGGTATATTATTGGTATAATATCGGTATAGCTGTCAGTGACAAAGATAAAGTGCTTGGATACCTATACTATTAAATTACTGAATATTTCAGTTACCCTTTAAACATTTGTAGACAACTAACTAAAATGGCTAATGGATACTGTAATAGAATTTTATTTGAAGTGAGCAAGTCCCGAACGTTTTATTACCAAATCTGATAATGCAGAAATATCTGTGAACAAAATAAAGATGAGTACATATAATTTGAGACAAATTTCAGTTCATTCAAGTGTTTCAAGATATACAATGAGAGAATAACTAATGAACGCTTTACATTGCAGGTATTTATTTGACAGTGACAATGGGAATGACGTCATTATCCATTATTCTAACAGTGTTTGTACTTCAATTACATCACGTGGGTCCGCATCAGCGACCCGTGCCAAGATGGCTACGGTTTTTGTGTGTGGATATTTTAGCCAGATTCATGTGTATGAGACAGTCTCAGATTCCACAGCCGTTTGTTGATGAATTCCGCAAAGACGACATGTGTTTAACAACATTTTTTGAAAATGTCGAAAATGGAAACACCACGGGTACGTGTAATGGGAATTTGCAACAAAATTCCAATAACACAATTAATAATTACCAGAATGACAAATATCATATTGAAATGGATAAAGACAAAACACATCAAAAGATTACAAATCATTTAAAACTGTTAGTGGAGAAACAGGACTATGAGGAGAACCATCAGGGTATCGTCCATGAGTGGCAGTTTGTCGCTCACGTAATGGACAGAGTTCTTTTTTGGATCTTTTTATTTGCTGCAGTTATATCATCTATATTGATTTTAGTTGTACAACCTTTATTAAAACCCCCGCTACAGTGAACGCCAAATATTTCATTTTTCATGGCCATAAATATTCATTTACAAAGTAAAACGTGCACAAGGCGCCAATAAATAAACATTAAAAGCTTCGAAATATTCTCGAAAGTTTTTTTTATATATATAATCAATATAAAATCTAACTATAAATGTCCTGCCACATCATTAAAATGACGTGTAAAATCTTACATAATTATTTTAAGAGATTATACAAAACAGCAGAATTTTAAGTTAACACATTTACATGTACACAGATAAACAAAAAAATTGCAATGCTACAGAATGAATTTGTAGTTTTTGTCTACTAAGTACTTATACTTGAATGTATCATTTTTAAAAATATGAGATACCATACGTGTATAGCGCAGTTTTATCTGTTCACATTTTATACACGCGTATGTATCATCTATTTATCTGATGTCATACTATCAGTTAAAACCTTTATACAAATTTGACTATTTTATTTTTAAAATATAATGTTATTTTCTGCAATAAACTTAAAATTATATCAACATTATTTTAGCATTTAATAACAATTCTCTGTAACGACTTTTTTGGCATGGTAACCGATTTTGACTGATAAAACTTTGTCCATTTTTTAAATTGGACACTAAAAACAAAAATTAATTAAAAGTTGATTGTTATTTGTCTCTGTTACCATTGTAACAAATGGAAAAATTTCACAATTTGGTATTTTCAGCTTCTTTGAATCTTTATGAAGCCTTTGCAAAGATCACAGGATTGATTTTCATTCAGATTCATTCAGATTTGTGCGATTTTTTCTTCCATATGACATGAATAAAATGATGAACAAAAATCCTTAGATGAAAATAGGATAAAAGACAAATAAGTTTGCCTCCTAAATCAGGGTGTACTTTTTACTGATAAATATAGTACTTATTTTATGCCAGGGTCTGCTTTTTGGTGCATGTATACGTACTAGATGCGCGTCATGTTGTAAGGACTAATGATGTAGTCATCTCCTTTTTTGTTGAGAGAAGGCTACGACTCCATTGGATCTCCGTAATATTGCAAGTGCGAGAGTGACTGCGAAAATTTTGGCTCAAACTAAAAGTAACAATTTTATTAACATTCTTATCTGAACTCAAAAATATAGTTATGCGATCCAAAATTTTAATGAATATCCCTAAATATCGGTTATTTTCCTTGTATGTAACATCAAAACTTGATTTGGTCCGCCATCTTTACTGACTTAAATCTATTTTTATTTTGGGATAGCCAATGAGAAATCGAGAACTAGGGAGTGGATCTTGTTAATGAATATATAGGATCTCCCATTAACAATAAATATCGCTGTAAATGAAAAAAGAAATCCATATCGAACACAATTATTTATCAATGTTTAAATGTACCACAAGGCCAAATAATTTATCTGCACCTGTATTAACTTTAAAGAGCCTTCCCAAATTTCAAGCGCGTCTCGATCAGTGCGTCACACAGATCTGTCATGGCAGCTTAAGAACATATAGTTGTATTTAACCTTATGTTAGCGTGCGAAGGGCTAGGTTTATATAATAATGAATAAAGGAATCATCTTCTTCTTAAAAAGTTGAATCCAAAAGTGATTTATTTTGCCTGAAGTCGCCCGTATTAAAAAAAATTGTTGCACCATTTCGGAGATCCTGTGGAATTGCAACCCTCTCCCGAAAACATCAAATTTTAAAAAAGTCGAAGAATGCTTCATTACTGCAGCTACAATGACCCCTGAAGGAAAGATAACTCTATAACAGATAAATCTTGAATCTTTTGCAATGATTGTCGAGTTTTGTCTCTAGTGGTATGCATGAATTTCATTTTGTCTACATCTCGTACTAGAACAATTGTTATGTGCACAGAAAAAAATCAGAATTTGAGATGTCAGAAAAATTTGAATGAGCAGATTATTGTTCTACCTAAAAAGTTAACCTAGCAAAACCAGGAATACATTTAAGTAGTGCATTTCAAAACATAAAATTGGTAAAAAGTTACACTATAATAAGCAAATGTAAGTATATGTCTTGTGTTCAGGATTCTTCTTGATCACACTTTAGATCGTGAAGTCTAAAAGACCTCCCAAATTTGAGTGCTTCTGAAAACAAGCTGACTGAAAAATTGTCAAATTTTGTCTTTTTATTCTCTCTGTAGATGACCTTGCAGGCAGGGTCAGCTGGTATCAAGTAAATATCATGGTTTACAAATAGAACAGGTCAACTTCCCGTGGTTTTTCAACCCACTCACCATACCCATTGCCAGACATGATCGATTTAAATGTTTCTTTTGCTGATAAATAATCATCTGCCAGGTCTTTTGTTTCGCGATACGTGCGTTGTACGTTGCTATGATATGCCCGAGTAAATGATTGGAAAAGTGATCTCTTGCAGAGACGAGATGCTGTATTTGTAATACTCTTCCCGTGAGTCCCGTCCGTCAGTTCCACTGTGTCGTCTGCCGAGTTCCAATTGATGCTGAGAGCGCGGGATCTATCCACAATACGGACATCATTCATATTTGTCACACACCCCATGTCTGGGTGATGTAGCGTGAATCCCTGGGACATGTCTGCTAGTTTATTGTTACCACGTCCCACCCGGCAGCACATTGCTCTTGACATGTGACCATCGCTAAACAACTGACCTGCAAATGAATGAATGGTTGATTTCAACTCCTTTAAACTCGCTTAAGGTCGTTTTGATGAAACAGAGGTAATAACAAGTAAATTGACTGTTGGAATAGTGAACAGTAATACGTGCCCAAAGTAATGGATGACAGGTAAATCGGTTCCACAAACAGCGACAGAAGCGCCCCTTGGAGTCCTAGAACGTTCCAGCGGCATATTTTGTCACTACATGACATCGTGCGAAGACGTTCTTGTCGGCGGATCCCGTCCAGAGTCTGGGGAACGTTATCAACTGGTATGGTTCCTTCTCCTGTTTATTGCAAACGATAAAGTTGGAACTGATGTTAGATTTTCTATACTTTTTGCATTAATTTAATTCAATACTGTCATAATTTAAGACTTGTAACATTATACAACTTTTCTTTAAATAATAAACTAGCTCATTAAAATACTTTTTCTAAGTTATAAAATAATTATTTCAATAAGACTAGTTTCAAGATTGCATTAAGGACAAAAATTCTGATGTGTGTATACATTTTACAGAAATAAATAATTAGGAGGAATTTTACTTGATATGCAAAAAGGAATTATTCTCAAGATCAAAGAATAGGACAAACCGTTTTCTAATTTTGTCCTCAGTAGTCCTTGATGTGAGCTCCCAAAAATCGGTTCGTGACGTGAATCAATACCGGGGTTTGCACTGTAGAGCAACGCAAGAAAAGACTCAAAACAAATACCACCACAGTGGAAAAGAATGATTATAATGCAAAGAAAGCAATCACATATATACAGGTCAAAGGACAGGTAAGATGTTCTTGTTAACACAGCCCCGTCTCGGGGGGGGGGGGGGGGTATATACAGGTAAAAGGACAAATGAAAGGATATTACGGTGTAAACACAGCCCCATCTCGAGAGGGAACCGTGGATATATACATGTACAAGTGAAAGGACAGGTTAGAGATTCTTACCGTGTAAACACAGCCCCGTCTCCACAGGGGGCCGTGGATATATACATGTGAAAGGAAAAGTGAGAGGCAAGTCCAAGTTTTCCGGATGATGCTCTTCTCAGTAAGTCACTTTCACCAGAAGACTGTGACTGACAAATTTTGTTATACAAGTATCTAAAAAGGACCTCACGTTCAAATACACGTATTGTAAATACTTTTAATTTAATAATTAAACAACGAGTAAACTTTATCACATCTTTCGTTCAAGTACATGTATATAAATAGTACAATCATGTTAAACATGAATTTTACAACAACAAAAAGCAATATTTTCAGTTTCTCCACCTTCTAAAACCTCGTTTTGCTATGACTTCTGCGTGAGAGTCGTTAATGACGTTCCCGTCAACACACAGGTTATTTCCGGTTACACAGCGGTTTCCTGGAAAATAATATAATTGACACAATTATAGGTCACAACTTCGGGCATTTCTGAATTTTGCTATTTATCAACAAAGAGCTTTCAAAATCTGTTGAGTTCGTATTATAATAACTGGTTCATTTGTCTCAAATAAGGTACTAAAAGTTATTCTGTAACATCTCAAAAATCCTTTATATTTCGTGTGAAACTTCGAGTCCACTTTGTGGATCCACTCTCGCCAAGATCCCACGGTTTGAGCAAACTAGACATTTTTCCTGGGATGTTTTCATTAAAATTTGCAAACATGTAGCCTTAAGTTCTTAAAAGAAAGACTTAAAAAAAAAATTATATGCACTAAGTGATTCCTTTTTTATTCCATACTGGCACCCTGGTTCTGGTTTCTTCGCTATATTAGGAAGCTTCTTTACAAGTTTGTCATTTCTACCTCAGTAGTTATTTGGATCTTAAATCAAACCTTATTGTTGATTTATTCAACAAACATTAAGTAGGTACATTGTTCTAGTTTAAAGAACTCTTAATGGGAAATCTTCCGTCAAAGAAGACAAACTAAATAGATTTTTCTGTGCCTCTGGTGTTTAATTTTCACTGACTGTATTTTATGAAATATCAGTTAGCGTATAGAAACCCTTTACCTGTACCAATGCTAACAACAGATAATCTGTCCATATTTTTATTGAATAGCAAGATGGCCGCTATGACCTTTCTTCCAGACAAGTTCTCTGTCACGGTCGACACGATTTTTTCGAATTTCCTCATAGTTTTAGCGGCTACTCTGTCGCTCCATGTTTTTATCGTTTTTGGTAATTGGCCTCTGGGAATCTGAAAGTTTAAAGTTTTTTTAAATTCATAATCCAAGTCACAATCAGAATTTATATCCAATCTCCAATTGTTAAAACTATTGTAACCAAACAGTTTTGTTCTTAAATTTAAACGAGGCACCATTTCCAGGATTTTCTCTGAATATACTGATTGCACAATACATTTTTATATCAATTCTTTTCATTTCCTGGTATGAGACAAATCTCTCTTACATTTTTGAAAATAAAAATGTGAGATTTTGTTATATTTCAACAGTGCCTTTTCTCGTGTCGAAAGCTATTTCAAGACAAGTTTTAATTTCATAGCCAAGAAAAAGGAAGAAATTTTCAAAAGATTTGCTTTAAAAAACTTTTAGCAACATATATTCTTAAATATATTCTTAAAGGAATAAACATGATGGATTCTCAGACCTAACAGCACTATCAGTAAGTCTTATATCCAAACTGGATTTTAAAATTATAGCTAGCGAAGCGAGCTCAATAGACTAACGTGTAAGAACAGAGGAAATTCGGAATGAAATCTGTACACCGTATACGCCAGGCAAATTTTCTTGCGAAACATTCCCAGAATTCCATCGCTACCAGGGTTCCATGCGAAATTATTACAAAACATACAAAAGACCAAGGATAATTGTTCCTTACCAAGGGATACGTTTATTTTCTTTCTATGCAGAAAGCTTAGAAGAATATAAAAAAAATTGCATGTACTCTACAACATATTTCATTAAACATGTAGTAGTCTCGTTCAACCAGACGCTCGGCTGTCTCCGTAAATTCCGACGTCATGTGACGCCACAGTCTAGACTGCGTCTCGTGCGGTTTGAAGTTTGAAAAGGCGGATCAACGTACAACTGTAAGCTGTGTATATGACTGCGCTCGCCCCAGCGCTCACACCGTAAAACGTATTAATAAAATATTTTGCAAAGTTCATGTAAGATAAATGACAGTTAATTTCGTGCAGGTTTTATTGTAGTTTCGTTTTAAATCTAATTATCTGATATCGAAAATCTATTTTCCATATCAAATTAAAGCTAACTGTACATCGGTTTCTTTGAATTGCAAAGTTTTTTAATCAGAAAATTGGTTATTTAAAATAAAAACTAAAATATATATCAACGAAATATGTGGAGATAAAGAATAGTATTCGAGCTCAAAAGTCCATTGAACATTACGAAATAGGAGCAGAGCAAACAAGGACCTCTAAGACATCAGAGGTGGGATTAGGTTCCATGGTGGAGTGAGCATCCCCTGCCGACCGGTCACACCTGCCGTGTGCTCCTTGTCATAATCGGGAAATAACGGAAAAATCAGTCGACAATTCAGTGTGTAAATAATGGCCTAACAATTAGTATGAAAAAAGTATATCAATCAAATAGTTTTTATTATTATCTTTTTTTTATAGTGCATGTAAATATAAAAATAAAATAAGAAATAGTATCGATGTACTTGTATATTTTATGTATTGAAATATTTTTTTATTTATATAATGAATATTTGTTTCAAAATAAATCTTGATATCTTAAATATTTGAATTTTCCGAGAATTACGCACCTGCGTCTGTTGTAATTCGTATCTTCCCATTTCCTGAAGTTTTCTTAGTGCTGCAGCAGTCGCTCGATTTTTAGCCTTGTTCATACTATTTCCGGACACCGTTGGAAACTGTTCCTCGCCCAAACGGGCCGCCATATAAAATCTGGATTAACATGTTCAGACTTAATAACAAGTGGCCCTTGAGTCATATTAAGCTTACCTTTGTAAGAATTATTCACAAAGAATGATATCTAAAACAAGGTACATGTATTTAAAATTTAAAAGAGCCTCGCTTTCAGATTCGATCGAGACAGTCATAGACTTAACTAGACACATTGCCTCTTATTATCATTACACCTAGTAATATATTGAAGCAAATCAAGCTGATTTACTTTTCATAGCTGACAACACAACGTGCTGAACCAAAACGTTTATTGCCTGACGCCACGTGTGGCGTCAGTATAAGGATTAATTTTCATGAGGATTAATTTTTCCAAGATCCGAAACTAAACGATCATTCTTAATGAACTAGATTTTGTGCAAGCTGATTTCAACGGAATTTGTTACCTATATTCAAAGAAAAACAGTTTGCAGAAGAAAGAGTCATACTACTGATGCAAATAAATGATGTGTTTAATTCCTTCAGTTTTTTTGCATGCACATGTTTATTCTTTTCAATTCTTTGTATGGACAATTCCGTGTAACATTTTTTCTGCGTTTCTAAACTACTGGATCAGTCCAATTGCCTTCTACGAAAGGGGTGACACAATCATTTCGCGCCAAATGCCAAATGTAAATTATCTTCGCGCCTTTTTCTTGGATTGTTCTATTGAATGAGTGTGATAACTTCTATGGAAATAAATAAACTTTATACTTTTAACCTGATTCTTAAGCTTCAGATTTTTTATTAACAGGAAATTTTATCTCATTTTTTAAAAGAACACATTGTATATGGGCAGGCAACACTAAAGCAATGGATTTGCTGATTATTCTTACTATTTATCCTATAAGTGGACTAGTCCAATCATAAACAAACTCCCTCCACCTAGTAAATGGGACATCCTATCTTGATTCAGTCTGTTTTCCACCTTTTCTTTCAATATTACGTTTATTAATAATGTACGTTACAAGGTTAGGCTTTCAAAACAGCCAGTAGCATATTATTTCATGCTTTGTGATGAACAAGGGTTTCCTCTTAATACAGTGACAACAGTGTAGGTCAGTACCCGTAGAGGAATGGGCTTCACTCCCGTAAGGTTCTAAGTAAAACATCATGATCTGTACTGGTGTTCATTTCATAAAAAAGCACATTATTATAAATTATGAGAAAGGTCCTGAAATCGATTGAAAAGAAGAGCTAAGCTATTTTAAAACTGTACATAAAGATGTATTTTAAACTCATTTATAATACATGTACTTGTATATGGTAAGACCATCATCGCGCGAGTTTTGTCCGGAGGGGGGGGGGGGTATTAGTATCTTGTTTTGCTCTAGCTATAAACTGTACAGACCATTTACTTTGAGTTCTAGAGCAGCATTGAAGCATTTTTGTCTCAAACACTTCAAGACAACTTTCCCAGTTAAAAGTGTTCATAATTTACTTCGTCGTCGAGAACATGCATGAAGAAGCATGCCCTCTGGTAAGAGAGTACATGTAATATGAATTTCTTTAAAACGAATCATCAAACTATTTTCCCCAGCTAGTGCACTTGCAGTTTCATCCCAACGTAACTAGCCAGCCCGTGGGCTAACTAATAAATGACCAAAAGTGGCATGTCTTAGATATTCGTTAATCTGTAGTATTTGGTTATGACATTTGAGAAAGTCAATTCAGGCCTGTAGGATGCAATTTCACTTTGAGTGGGCACAACCATACATTTTCAGTTGGGGGGGGGGGCACTATGAACTACCAAAATTCCTTGACAAGCGAAAAAAAGGTCATCAGGCATTATTATTGAGGGGGCTCAAGCATATTGCAGCTATGTTTTCTATAGTATTCTACATATCGGCAAAATTATGCGGGGGCACGGCTCCCCCGTGACCCCTCCCCCGGTTCCTACGGCAATGCAATTGCACATCTTGTGTAATGAAGTATCGCAACTATGTCGCTCCTTGATGACGGAAACGTTTAGTACATCTCTTGCTTATACGTTCCATAGATAATGATTGATTAGTCAGGCAAGCTTTTTGAAAAGCTATAGTGCTCTCGAGCGCTAGCAACTACGTTAGTCTATATTTCTGGAATACGCATGCTCGACTTCACGGTCGGGCATTCTGGGAAAACTACTGTAGATAGACTGTGCGATAACAATTTCGTTTTGTCATACAAATATAGATATGATCAGAATTTACGCTAGCCTTTCCTGTCTGATATGTGCGATATACATTTCTTACGTTAGAGACAGGCAATACCAGTCTAGATCCGGATTCTGAATTTTTTTTAAAATTTATTGTCTAACCTACATGTACACATAAAAGTACAAGAAAAACTTAGGTCATATAATGCCAAGATTCTAGACATCTAGCTTTCCTCACAGTCATACCACCTTCCTGGATAATTTCGGCAAACTCGGAAAAAATCTTTTCAGAGTATGTCGGAAAGACATGTCAGAAATAACAGTCTTCGTTTTATAAGTTTCTATCATCTGAAAATACATATGATCTGAAGTTTCGGGTTTTGTTGTCTATCCTGCACGTAAATGAACAAAAAGTAACAGTTACTCGGGTCTTTTAAAACGAAGACTGTTATTTCTAAAATTGTAATGAATACCTAGCTTTTCTAATCTACCTTCATTGATTTCTCCGGCAAGTTCGGAAAACCGCCGCAACCTCGGATATGTTTACCTAGCTTGCCGGAAAGTTCCGAGAAGATGCGATTGCTAAAAAACAGTACCACACTGGAATATTTTAAACTAGGTGCTCGTTGGTTCTATTAACCTTTTTTACACCTCCAAATTGAAATTACAGTAGAATACAGAAAGCACAGTTAGGAGTTATGCCATTGCCGACGTGAAGCCCACTCTTAGATTCACCATTCTGAATTATGACCCCCCCCCCCGACTCAACCCCCAGTGCTCCAATGTGCCTTAATAATTAATCGATTCAGCAAATTTAACAAATGGTTCAGATATCTTCTGTATTTTATTATGCTACAGCGCTAGCTCACCAATCTTTTTAAAAGATAAGCTTGTACTTGTTTTATATAAGCGTCAAACTAAATATGACAACGGAATAAACAAGTTGTACATAAAATATTCCATTATCACACACCTCATGCCACTTCTCGATACCAATACAAATTTAATAATTTTTTCATGGTTATTTTAGCAAAGAATGTTACATAGGATGGTTCCATTTTTATGGTAAAAATATGTTAAATTCGTTTGTTAGGTTGCTGGTGGACAAAAAAAATCCGTTTAAATAAAACAGATGAGAATGAAACACGGATAAATACATGTAGCAAACGTTTCACCGAGAAATTTCTGTTGCTTTAGGTCAGAGCGAGTCAAATGCTTTTTTTTCAGCAGTCGATCTCTTGTCACTAACTTAACATCTCTACGATAGACTCAAAACATAAGGATTGTACTCACGTATAACTGTGGGGCGGTCCCGTTCTTGGTGACGTTTCAACGACATCAGAAGTCTTCTGCTGAGACTGAGCATACTCGTTAAACAATTGAAGAGGATTTTTTCCGGGTGGACAGATGTCTTTAAAGTCGTCAATACCACCTATTTCATATGTTCTTCCAAGGCGTGGATTTGTTTTCTGTTATACCAATAAAACATATGTATAAATCCTCTCGTTAATATATTATCCTAAAGTTTGAATGGATAAAGGAATTCATTACGGCTTAAAAGACGTTTTTAATACATCTAGCTTTACAACGTTTACATGTCCTACTTATACGCTATATACCGGTTTGGGTATTCGTCCTTCACCCTGCAGTTCCAGTAGAGCTGCATTGGCTGCTTTTTTCTTTCCCTCTCTCTTGTTTCCATGCGCGATTTTCTGGAACTCACGATTACCAAGCTCGGCGTACATACGAAACCTTATTGTAAAGATGCATCAAATAAACGGGTATTGTTTGAATTCATTTAATTAAGTTTTATTGAACATTTTTATTATTAAATACAATAACATTCATAAACACTATTAAAATTTCACATACGTTGGACAATGTGGTGGTCCTGTTTGTGAATCCTGTACGATACGTCCAGTTTGTCCTATTGACTGTGCATACTCCATAAAAGCACTAACAGGATCTTTGTCAGGAACAGCCAGTTCCAGTAGCTCTCTGGATGGTCCCTGCATAAATTTGGTTTAAACACATTTGGTAGAAATACATGTTTTTATATATATCAATATATCTTTCAATATACCGCAAGCAAGATCACCAATTTGTTTTCTTACTCACCGTTTTAAGATTGTGATAACAAGTAACAATTATGACATACTTTAATATAAATAATAGCCAAATAAATATGAATTCCCCATTGTGATTCACCTTGCTTGTGAATAATGCATCATATTCTTAGATTTTTTTTTTATAAAATTGATTTGATCTCTTGTAAAAAAAAAAAAAAAAAAAAAAAAAAAAAAGGTACTTAATCTGTGTACTTGAACTGATATTTGTGGCAGTTGTCGAAGAGCCATGTCAGCCGCTTTTGTTTTAGCTTCTTTTTTGTTTGGAGCCTCCGCCTTACAAATAACCTCATCCCCTAAGTAGGCAGAAGCTAGAAACCTAAACCAATAAAGAAAAAAAGATAATATTTTTACAATGTAACAAATGTAACAATTTTCTTTATTTAACAAGATGTCCAAGGCCCTTAATGGTCACCTGAGTATAATGTAACGATCCATAAATTAAAGAGGCCTGGACAGAGATTTGAAGTTGATCTTTTCTCAAACTTTCTGTATAATATCATGACGTACACGTTGCCATAGCATTTCACACGGAAAAAATAAGAAAAGCATGTTCAGAAACTTCTTTCATCTGGGCTTAATTGAAACTATGAATTTTGGGACGCGTTGATTTACATATCCTTGCATTTTCACAAAGTAAACTTTATCCTTAATACTTAAGAAAAGTTGAAATTTCGTTGTGTATTAATGAAAAATATCAAAATTATAATCCAGAAAATTCTGAGAAGAAATGTGAGAAAGCAAAAACAATTCACCAATATTGTCAGTCCGTGCTCAGTGATGTGTGCAGAGTTTAAAAATTAAATCGAGCACATCCGGTGAAACGTAAACTTTAACAATAACAGAGCTCGTGCCCTGTTTACAAAAAACAGATGCTTGACCTGATGTAAAGAAGAATGTCGTTCATTTAAATGCTTATATTTTTTTGAATAAGCATAGAAATTTAATATTACAAACGATGCAACTGTATCCAGGCCCCTTTAAAACAAAATATTAAAGCTGTGTTGTCAATGGATACAATGTGATCAGGGATCCGCAAAATATTAGTTTAGTACTCAATAACAAATCTTAAAGTTGATCTATTTATTTGTCGTACTTTCCCCCATTTGTTCCTATCCTCATGCGGACTAAACAAAAACAATAGTTCTAGAACACTATTAGTTAACACATTTCATTCCCCCTCGCATTGGCTTCTCTTGGTCTTTAAAGATTATGTATTGTACAAAAATATGTTATTTTTATCCCGTTTTCATTTATCTATTATTTAAAAGTTTACCCAACCATCAAAAACTATGAAAGTACTTTTGTATTGAATACTATAATTTTTTTGGTATAGTTCTGCTATTCAATTGACTTTTTAAGTTACAGTATTTACAGTGATTAGCTATTAAAGGTGAAAAGGTAAGGAAATAACTTCAGCAGAAATTAATAAACTGACCAAAGGGTACAGAATTTCAAAATCTGGTAAAACACTCCTGCTTATTTCAACTTTAAATAATCTATTTGCCTCGTAGATGCCCAGGGGCAGAGGAAAAGATTTTCAAGGAAATAATAAATTTTCACTATAGAATCAATATAGCCTCACCCTAAAACCAAAGCCCCTACCCAGGAACCAAGATATTCACAATTTTGGAAGAGGCACTCTTGCTCATCATAACCATGCACGTAGTATGTTTCCTTAATAACAACAGGCAGAGAAGATTGATTGATTGTTGTTTAACGTCCCTCTCGAGAATTTTTCACTCACATGGAGAAGCCACCACTTGCCGGTGGAGGGCTACAAATTCTGACCTATACTCGGCACTTACGGCCATTGAGCAGTGAGGAATCTTTTTCGTGCCAGCACCTACTTCGACACGGGACCTCGGTTTATACGGTCTCATCCGAAGGACCGGTCTCCACGTCCCACAGTGGGATTCGAACCCGCGACGTAAGGATCAACTCCTTACTCCGCGACTCTAGAGCAGACGCTCTAACCACTGCGCCACGCGGGCGACCAGGCACAGAAGAAGATTTTCAAGCATATAATGCATTTCTACTACGAGGGTTGTCCCAGAAAAAAACGAACTTTTTAAATATTTCATAAAATCACCTGACCAAAATTATTCATTTTTGGCATAATGTTGGGAAATAATGTTTTTTGTTATTTTGGCTAAATAAAATAAGGTTCCAATCCCATATGCGTTTATAAACAACATTTAAAGGATGTTAAATATCGGTGGTTGACGCACGGCAATTTCTTGACTTTCAAAAGTAGAATTGACAGCAATGTTTTCTTTATTATTAGGCTATACGGGAATATAATGTGCCAAAATACCCTGACATCATAAATAACAAAAATATGACGTTATATGCACAAACACTATTAATTAGAAATTGTCAAAAACGGCGACGTCGAGCGATAATGCAGCGCACTAAATTATCACTCAGTGTTGTGTGGAGCGGGGTTTGACTCCTGTTCAGAGCTGGGAACGAGGAAACGACACAATAAACATGTATCGATTACAGGTTTATACATAGTAAAAGAGGTTCAAAGATGAATGGACTGGTTATGCAGTGGAAGAAGCGTTTGGTAGACCAACAAAAATGACAGCAAACTGAAAATGCTAGAGCTGGACCTCATACCTGGAGACCATCGTTAAGTATTCGAGCAATAAAGTTTAAGATCGGGGTTTGGAAATTGTTTTTTGAAAGAATTTATTCCTTGATTTATTCTTAACTGTAGTACGTGTGAATGGATAACTCGGTAACAAAATGGAAATAAAATGCAGTATCAAATTTATGCTTCGAACGAATTTTTAAAGACGCACGATTCCTGAACAATTTGAAAAACTCTACGAGCTACGTTTTGACATCGTCGGTGTTGCACCAGTAGCTATTTTGAATTATTCGTTTACCAAAAAGAAAAATGTTTTTTATGGAGATATTTTACTGAAATTTCTGTGAATTATTTTAAAAATGTTGATTTTCATGCATGCCAATTTTTAATTTTGTAATATTAATGAAACAAAAAAAGTTGAAAATGTTCGCTTTTTTCTGGGACAACCCTCGTATATATTCAAAAGATTCTCATGCACCCTAACACCAAAATCCCCAACCCCGGGGTTATGAATTTCATTTTTTTTTTTTTGAAAAGATTTCCATGCTCGTTATAACCATGCAATTAGTTTTCTGTTAAATACCCTGGGGCAAAGAAGAAGATTTTCAACAACAACAAAAAATGCATTTCCACTATATATTAAATAGACCCTCAACATGAACCTCTCACCCTGGGGCCACAAATTTCACAATTTTAAAAGAGACATCCTAAATCATCATAGCCATGCACTTAGTTTATTTGCTAAATACCCAGAGAAGATTTTCAAAGAATTAATACAATTTCGCTATATAATCAATAGAGCCCCTCCCTAACACCAGAACCCCTAACCCAGGGGCCAAGATATTCACAATTTTGGAAGAGGCTTCCCTGCTCATCATTACTTTATACTTGGTTTATCTGCTAAAAACCCAGGGGTAGAGAAAACGATTTCAAAGAAGTAATGCATTTTCACTATATAATCAATAGAGCCCCGCCCTACAATGTAACACCAGAACCCCTAAACCGAGGTAAATTATTGACAAGTTAAAGAAACAAGAATATCAGCTGTCTCGTTTAAAGTCATCATTTCGTAAGTTCTATGGTCGATACAATGACATGTCAGCAAATACAGTCTATCATTAAGTCATATGCTGACTGGCGTTTTTCACACTAATTGTTAGGCCATTATTTACACACTGAATTGTCGACGAATTTTTCCGTTATTTCCCGATCATGACAAAGAGCACACGGCGGGTGTGACCGGTCTACAGAGGATGAAACTCCTACATGGCACCTGATGGCACTTCTGATGCTTTTAGAGGTCCATGTTTACTCTGCTCCAGATTTGTATTGTTTTAATGGACTTTGAGCTTGAAATTTGTTCGTTTTCTCCATATTTCATCTGAACCAGGGGCCAAGATATTCACAATTTTAAAAGAAGTGTCTTTGCTCATCATAACAATATATATCTGCTAAATATCTAGGAACAGAGAAGAAGATTTTCAAAGAAATAATGCACTTTCGCTATATATTCAATAGAGTCTTTTTAAAAAAGTTTGTTCAACAGTAACAAAATCTCTTTTTTTAAGCAATGCTGAGAAAATAAAACTGTTCTTTGAAAGCCTTTTAAAATGTCATCCTTTACTTTGCATTGAAGTTAGATTGTCTAAAAGAAGGAATCATTCATTATTTGATGTTGTAAGAAATGATGGGAGTGATGTAAATCTTATACGGTACCAATTTTGATGCACCAGATGCGCATTTCGCCAAAGTATGTCTCTTCAGTAATGCCAATGCCGTAACATTAGAGATCCGAAATATTCTTATAAAAAAAAAACTTTGAAAAGCTGAAATCACCGCCATCGAATAAGTGATATCATTTAATATCACCAATTAGAAGTGAATAGGTTATATCATATATTCAAGTAGATGATATCACCTCTTCAATTCGAATAGGATATTGTCTATTCATATAAGTTATATCACCTGTTCGAATAGGTGATATCACCTGTTCAATTTGAATGAGTGGTTTCACGTGTTTGAATAGGTGATGTCACCTTTTTGAATAGGTGATGCTACTAGATGGCAATGCATACATAACGGCGCCTCATATGTGAAACTGAAGACTTTCATTTACTATGAAATTTCCCTCTGGGATTTTTATGCGCCCGGATCGATAGATCGGGGCGCATATTGTTTTTGTCCTGTCTGTCTGTTTGTCTGTTTGTCTGTCTGTTGTCATCTTTAACCTTCGCCATAACTTTTGAACCATAGGTGATAGAGACTTCATATTTGGTATGCATACTCCACTAATTAAGTTCTTTCAAATGACACCAAGGTCAATGACCTTGTGACCTTCACTGTGACCTATACGCTAAAAATAGCTTTTTCGAACTTTGTTGCCGCCGGGTGCATAGTGTTTCACAAACACATCTTGTTTTCTTAGATTTTTGGAGTAAAAATATCTTCAGAATTTTAAATCAATGATGAAAAAGAATGAAAAAAATGTTAATAATTTTGCTTTTGAAAATAAAATTAATCGTGATTTTAAATTGAAATAAATGAATATAGCAATTTCTTTTCATGATTTACAATTTGTAAATCATGAAATAGAAAGTCAATGACGCTCTACTATACCCTACCCCATTATACCCTACTATTATTCTGACACTTTGAATCTGTAGAGCATTGAAACTGATCCACTATGTAAAAAAAAGGGTTGCTCAATTGACAATTGTTAACTATTATATAGTACACTATACTTGTTAAGGGTACTCTCACATTTTAAAGAGCTACCTATATGGGTTTAACATTCATTTGATTCCGATTTGATAAGGATTTGAATCTTTACCTTGGATTTCCTGACAACAGATTTGCTCTCTTTTCTTGACATTTCAGGTTGGGTTGCCTTCCAATCTTCTGGCCATATTCCATAAAGGCGCTAATTGCGTTCTTCTGTAGACGGTGTAAGGTGCCTCTGTCGAATGACTCGGCTAGAGAGTATACATGTAGTTACTTTATACATAATACACCTTTACAATTCACACCTCTTCTAATTAACTAACTTTAAAGGTATTCTTTGTTTGGAACGTGTGATTGAATTTATGTATAACATGAGCTCTTTTTTGTTTTTGTTTTGTTTTGTTTTGTTTTTGGTTTTTTTTTTTTTTTTTTTTTGGTGGTGGTGGAGGGGTTGGGGTTAAAATAGCAAAATCTGCTTAAGATAAAAAAAAAAGTGTTTCACCAGGATGGCGCATTTTATCATGATGCGTGATGGCTTTAACTTTTCAATCGTCAACTTCCCTTACTTATCCAGCAATAAACCCTTATCACCTGCATACGGGGTTTATATCTCTCAGTTGATTCGATACACCAGAACATGCTCTACGTATGAACAATTTCTAAAACGAGGTAAGTTATTGACAAACATGTTGATGAAACAAGAATATCAATAGTCTCATTTAAAGTCGTCATTTCGTAAGTTCTATGGTCGATACAATGACCTTGTCAGCAAAACACAATCTATCATTAAGTCAAATGCTGACTGACTTTTTTTCATACTATTTGTTAGGCTATTATTTGCACACTGAATTGTCGACGGATTTTTCCGTTATTTCCTGATCATGACAAGTAGCACACGGCGAGTGTGACCGGTCGGCAGGGGATGCTCACTCCTCCATGGCACCTGATCCCACCTCTGAAGTTTTAGAGGTCCGTGTTTGCTCTGCTCTTATGAGCTCGAATACTGTTCGTTATCTCCACATGTTTCATCAGCCATTGATTCATAAAAATTGTTTTACATCTAAATCATTTATAGAAGTTCGTTTCTTTCCATCGTTAAGTTACTATAAAGGTAAGTGATTCTCAGAATCATAAAGGTCACACGACCCATTCTTCAATAATATATAAGTTTCCTCAAGAATTCACTGAAGTATTGAAATTTCAAAAAAAAAAAACAATTAGTATACTGTATCTACTCCTGAAATCTCCAAAACAAACAATTTTGACTCTGCATCTCCCTATCTACTAGATAAACAATTACTACACTGCATATACTCTTGAAATCTCCAAAACAAAAAATTAGTATGCTGCATCTACTAAAATCTCAACGACAAGAAAAAATAGAATGCTGCATCTACTACTGAAATCTCAAAAATCAAACAATTATGATGGTGCATCTACTCCTGAAATGTAAAAAATAAACAGTTATTATGCTGCATCTTTTTGAAATCTCCAAGACAAATACATGTAATTAGTATGCTGCATCTACTCCTGAAATCTCCAAAACAAACAATTAGTATGCTGCATCTACTCCTGAAATCTCATAAACATACAATTAGTATGCTGCATGCATCTACTCCTAAAATCTCCAAAACTTATAATTACTATGCTGCATCTACTCTTAAAATCTCCAAAACAAATAATTGGTATGCTGCATCTACTCCTGACATCTCCAAAACATACAATTAGTATGCTGCATCTACTCCTGAAATCAATAAATCATATAATTAATATGCTACATCTACATTTACTCCTGAAATCTCCAAAACGAACAATTGGTATGCTGCATAATCTTCTGAAATCAACAAAACTTACAATTAATATACTCCTGAAATCTTCAAAACAAACGATCAGTATGCTGCATCTACTCCTGGATCTAGAAAATAAATTTGAAATCTCATCGCGTGGTGAAAATAAGACTAATGTCATATAATGATTTGTGCATAAATCTTCTTATTTTGTTGTGTAATAAGCAAATTTTTGAAATTCCACTGCAATTAGGGATAATATTTATAACGTATTTTGAAGTGTGTATTATTTATAACAAAACTTATGGAGGGAATGGTTACCAGTATTTCCAAAATTAAGAACCAATATTACGTTTAAAACTAATTACATGCTTGAACCGTATGTCAATCTAAATTATCAAAAAAGGAGAGATCAACTTTTCAATTCAGAATAAAATAGCCAAATATTTGTTTCATCAGTTAATGACTACTCCTTACAAACTGTTGGATTTATAAACTCTGCCTACCAACTCATGAAAAATTCTCTTAAATTTGTTTTAAAAACTGTATACAAGTAATGTGATTTATTACTAGTATTAACCATAAGATAACTTATAGAATACTCAAAAGCTTGAAGATATTCACAATAATACGTATAAAATGACTTAGAGGTCCAAAGGTCCGGGTGCAAACAATCTACTACGCAGAGTTGTCGTTCGTTCCTCTCTCAGTTGTATGAGCTATAGAGTGGGGTGCAAATTGTAAATTTATTACATTTTCAACAGTGAAATACTGTGATTTATTTATTGAATAAAAATGATATTCTCTCACAGTGTGAAAGGATATCAAAATGATATTCTCTCACAGTGTGAAAGGATATCAAAGTAAGTAAAAAATAATTTCTGGCCTGTCATAAGATAGAGATAGTAACTAAGCATCTTGATAGAGCTAAAACTGCAAATTTCTTCCCAAATATGTTGCTAAAATCCATGATATGTAATATTCAATCACACAACTGCTAAGCTATGACGTCTAAACCGCTTACTATGACGTCAAACCTATGACACTGTGTTAAGAAAATACAGAGCCAATGGGAAAATCAAAGAAAATGTAATAAACAGAAAATTCAATGTTTTGTAGATGAATATGGAATTTATTTCACTCGTGAGACAGGATTTTTTGATATTTTCACTGATAACATGATTTATAAATAACAAGAACGTGTTAAGTAATGTTTTGCCCCATGTTTATGACGTCACAATGTGAAAATGACGTAAATAACGGGTATGTAGATGACTTGTGACCAAAAAAATGGTTGACTCAGTCGTACTCGAGCAAGAAACGGCTGTAAATTTTAAGGTATCCGATCCATAATAGCCTCAGATTCAATGAACCTGAAAGCATAACAGATATATATTGGCTGAATGCTCAGTATATATAGACATGATCTTCATGTTTTAGTATCAATATGTAAGAGCTGAATGTGTCCTAATTTTTGACCTTGTCCTGTCCTTGAAGAGTTATCCCTCTTTGCTTTTAATCAATAAAAATCAATTCTAAGAAAAATCTATCTGGTAAAAAATTAGTTTTCAATCGTTTTTCTATTCCTAATAATTAAATACACCTTTCCACCACAGCATTTTTTTTGATATTCTTAGTATTTAAATTTTTATTTTCGAAAATTTGCTTGTCCCCATAGACCTCAATGCATTCTTCATTAATTAATTACTGCTTAGGTAATTATATTTTTGAAAATTTCTCATGGTAAATCCTTTTCTACTCTAAAATGCTTTGAATTAATTTCCGAGTATTTAATACAGGATGGATATTTAAGGTTAGAAAATTAGGTCCTTTTATGGATCGGATACCTTAAAGTAAATCTTGGAAAATCCTTTTCAGTAATATATGATAATTTGTAAAAAGGTTTATGAATACAGTAAACTTGCGCCAAAAGTTCAATTAGTAATGAGATGTATTGTTTTAGAGAAGGAAGGGAGATGGTTAAAAGTAATGTTCGTTCTGGGTGCCCAATAAAAGTAAGATGGGAAAGAGACGCGTCCTTAGTTGAGCAGTTTGTAATTAACAACGCCAAGTCACAATTAGAAAAATTGTTAAATGTTTTAACAATAAAATAATTCTCGATCCCCTAAAATTTCATTTACTTTAAACTGTTAACAGATCAGATATGATAAAGAGAAACCGTCCATACTTTATCCACATTGGATACGCGACGCAACCAAGACAGAGAAGTCTCTGGTTGTGATGCACACCATGCTCATGCTGGGGGAAGATATCCTTATCCACCCATCCTGAAATATAACTGGGCTGGTGTGAACAGTACGCCTCGGAACATGTCACGTGAGCGCTTGGACCACATCTTTCGTGTATGGGCAGAACGGTAGCATGGGCTGCATGCATTAAAACTGGAGGGAACTTATTTTAAAAATATTAAACATTGAAACCTAATTTGATTTCTTATATAAAAGTCATTTAATTAGTTCGCGAACTTTTCTGATCAACCCTCGCATTAACTGTATACGAAATTTATAAAAGTGTCCGTATAGTAAATTCCAAGAAATCATATACATAAATTTTGATAAAGAACTGATGAAATATATGGAGATAACGAACAGTATTCAAGCTCAAAAGTCCATTAAACAATACAAAATAGGAGCAGAGCAAACACGGACCTCTAAACATCAGAGGTGGGATCAGGTGCCATGGAGGAGTGAGCATCCCCTGCCGACCGGTCACACCCGCCGCGTGCTCCTTGTCATGATCGGGAAATAACGGAAAAATCCATCGACAATTCAGTGTGTAAACAATGGCCTAACAATTAGTATGAAAAACGTCAGTCAGCATTTGACTCAATGATAAATTGTACTGATGTAATAGTGTTTCCGGTACACTTAAAATATACGTCTGTATGATTTTAGTATACAATATACAACTTCGAATTGCTCACACACACACACACACACACACCGAGTAATAATTATTGTTTTGTTTTTCTATATATGTTTTAAAAAGATTTAACTCAATTGTCTTTAATATACAAATTAGCAAGTTGATTCAAAACTATGTTTAGTTATATTTAATAATTACGCTTGAAAATAAGAAAAAAAAAACCCGTGAAATTAAAGTATAACTTACCCATTATAAGTCTTTTACGTTTTGGCCAGGTATGAGACATTTTTTTTTTTATGTAGCTTTTTATATACACAGAACCAAACGATGACGAATATACATGTAAAATACTGTTATCCCATTGGTTGATTCATCTCCAGTTTCGCATTCATACGTTCTCGGAAAATACAAAAACTGAGTTCCGGAAGCTAGATATTCATTTTTAGTTTTGATCACACCAACCTTAAAAAAGCAAATGTATCTCTTTTTTTAAAACATATATTATACAATTATAATATAATGTTAAATGTATCAATTAATTGTTAATGTGGAACTATCGATTTTTTTCGAATTTCTTAACAAGATTCAGTTTTATATTTTCTAAAAGATGTCATAAACAAAATATTTAGTTTATGATTGTGTGTGTTATTCACATTTTAATTAAAATGTAAAACAGGTATTTGAATCTAGAATTTCCCTAATTGACCTATCTAATTCCTCTGACCTGCTCTTATCAGAACAGTAAATAGAAAGTTTGTTGTCCCTAATCTGCCCTTATCTCTGTAAAAGCAATATGAATGAAACAATGAAACAAAAAGTATGAGTGAGTACACGATATGTCAGTCAAGTTTTCGGAAAGTGGAAATGGGATCTGCATTTGATATATTACGGACTGGGTACCAAATGATAAAATACTTAATATCTAAATCACCGAAGTCGATCCAAGTAAGGTCTAATACCATTAAGAATTGATATTAAATTACACATGTATATGAAAAATAGCTATTGAGAGATGCTGTGTTTTTTCAGTAGTTTAGCAATATTATACCCTCTGTTTGAAAAACAAGGAGTGTGTAGTGATGAGGGTGTCCGTCCTTCTGTAGGTCCATTACACTCGGGCTACCCATCTCTTAATATCCACAACTCCTCCTATACCACTGAATAAAATTTTATGAGACTTTTATGAGACTTTTACATATTGATATTGTGCACTACTATTTTTTTTTCAATCAGACAGATATTTGGGGTTTCCCATAGCAAAACATGGACACTGCCATTCTTTTTTTAACTTGAGGGGTATTCATAACATCTGCAACTCCCTCTATCTCACTGAATAAAATTTAATCAGACTTTCATAGAATCTTAATTACATTATGCTTTTGTGCACCTCCTATTTATCGTTTTGATCGCCGGGACAGATATTTTGGTTTGCCATAGCAAAACATGCACTCTGTCTTTATATAACATGGGGATACCCATCTTTTATCCGCAAATCCTACTATGCCACTGAATAAATTTTATAAACTTTCACAGAATTTTTATCACAGAGTCCTATTGTGCACCTCTTTTTTAGTTTCGATCGGGTAAATTTTGGGGTTTCCGGATCCCTCAGCAAAATTGGGTACACCCTTCTCTTATCCCCAATTCCTCTTATACCAATGAATAAAATAAGACTTTATCATAATCTTTATTACACAGAGCCATTGTCCCCTCCTATTTATGTTCTGCCTGGAAAAATATTAAGGGTTGTCCATTGCAAAACTTTGTCATTACACTCATATGGGAGCAGGGGTATCATCAACTCTAGTTTTTGCTTGATTTATTTGTTGGGATACTGTTGAAAATGTTTCCATGTCTTTGTCTAATACACGAGACATTTCTTAAGATTTCGTATAATCCATTTCAAATCCTGAGTTTGACATTTACCATTTCGGAATAAAAATGAACTCAGATATTACAAATAATGTTTGTTTGTTTGTTCTATTTCACTTGAACACTTTTTCCTGATTGACTTGATAGGAAAATTTACGATGTTACTTCAATTGTAGTTTTATCACAGTTTTGCCCTTTTTACGACTCATTTCCTGTGCATGTAACGCAATATGTAATTTTTCATAATTTTTAGAAACATTAATAATGTAACTAAATTGTATTCTAGACGTATAGTCATATGTGTAACAATAGCAATTATCTAGTTATTGCAGAGATAATTACATGTATATTCAATATACATTAAAACCTAGCCTATCATCGGATTATTATCTAAATATTTCAACGGGAAATGATGTCTTATAAACTACGAAAGGAAAATAGGGAAGTTTTAAATCGTAATCTTGACATTTTTAATCTTTCTAGTACAGAATTTGTTAATTTGTTAACGTCACGTAGCCTTCAATGTCTTATTTATTCAATACCTGCCTATAAAACAAAACAATATTTTTTATTTGATTTTAATTGATTGATACGGTTCGATAATCACCAGAAAAATTATAATATTGACCTCGGCTTTGCCTAGGTCTTATAAATAACCTAAAGAGTTCATTATTGTATAATATTTAACTACATCCGCTTAATATTTAAATGCCTCCAGATGCACATCAGTTGTAATTTTCCCAAATGCCACTAATCTAGATGAGATTCTTTTTTCTATATGTATACCTGTATTTCTTACTAGTTAATTTACAAATTAACTATAAACTAAATTAAACTTTGCCTTTGGACCAAATCTTTTGGACAACTATTCTTTTTACCTAACAGCCTATTGGATTATTTTGTAGGATCTTGCAGTATTGTTGGTAACGGAAACTTGCAAAACTTAAATATTTACAGTACATCTTATCTACACATGGAAAAAATTATATCATTTCAAGTATCAGTAAATGGTCACGCCCCTTTTGTTTGTCTATTTACATGCACTTACCTGTACTATAAGTCTACTTTCGTTTTCTTTTTCTTCAGTGAAGTTTCTGGTTGTTGACTTTTGCATTTCTTGGTACTTCCTCGTTCAAGATCAACAATCGTGTCCATTTAACATGGGCGGATACAGGATTTGTGATTAGGGGGGCGTGGATAACTTTGTTCAGGCAGGGGGTCTGGGGGCCGCCTTAAGGCCCCCTGGTGGGGGCCCAGGGGGCGAAGCCCCCGGAAGCTCCTGGGTTTTCGTGTATTTTAAGAGTAAAACCAGGCACAATAATAGGGGTATTGGTTAGTTTATATGTACCAAAGTTTGGCATTATTAATACTAGTCATATCGTACTTTGAATAGAGGGGGCCCAGGGGGCGAAGCCCCCGGAAGCTCCTGGGTTTTCGTGTATTTTAAGAGTAAAACCAGGCACAAAAATAGCGGTATCGGTTTGTTATATACCAAAGTATGGCATTATTGATATTAGTCATATCATACTTTGAAAATTTTAGGGGGGGGGGGGCGTGCGCCCCCCACGCCCCCCCTTAAATCCGCCAGTGCTTAAATAAAAATCTCAATCAATACAAAAATGACATGCACTCATAATTATGTTTATTTTTAGGTCACCTGCGTCGTCCGTTGTGCGTTGTGCGTCAACTTTTGAACATTTTCAACTTCTTACCTAGAACCGCTAAACCAATTTCAATCAATTTTGACATATAGCATCTATGGGTGAAGGGAAACAAAAATTGTGAATTTCATGGTCCCTGCCCCCCTGGGGCCTGAGGGGTGGGGCTAAAACCTCCAAAATTGATGCAATCTTTAAAAAAAATTTCTTTACTCCTGGACATCAAGCAGTCAAACTGTTTGCATGGTTGTATTAAATAAGCATTGAGCCTTCTACCAAAATAGTGAGATTCATTGCCCCAGGGTCAGGGGTTCTGGTGCTAGGGCGGGACTATATAGATCATATAGTGAAAGTGCATTATTTCTTTGAAAATCTTCTTCTCTTCTACTGGGTATTATTTAAGCATACTAAGTGCATGGTTATGATTAGCATTGTTGTCTTTTTCAAAATTGTGAATTTCATGTCCCCTGGGTCAGGGGTTCTGGTGTTAGGGCGGGGCTCTATTGATTATATAGTGAAAATACATTTATTTTTTGAAAATCTTCTTAAATTCTCTGCTCCTGGGTATTATTTAAACAAACTAACTGCATGGTTATAATAAGCAATGATGCCTTTTCCAAAATTGTGAAATTCATGCGGGAAGCCTCTCCCGTCTTTCTCTCAGTACCTTTCAGGCCGACACCGCCCAATGGCCAAGGGTTGGGGAGGGGGGCTATTGATTATGTACTGAAAAAGCATAATTTCTTTGAAAATATTCTTTTTCTGCCCCTGATTAAAAAGCAAAGAAACTAAGTGTATAGTTATACTGAACAAGAGTGCTACTTCCAGAATTGTGAGTTTCATGGCCCCTAGGTCAGATGTTTTGGTGGAAGGGTGGGGCTCTATTGATAATATAGTGAAAATGCATTAATTCTGTTAAATCATCCTGTCTGCTCCTAGTGTTGAGCAGATAAACAAAGTGCATGGTTATGATGAACAATTGTGTTTCTTACAAAATTTTTCAAACTAGTGGTCCCAGATTTTGGTGTCTCGGGGGGGGGGGGGGGGGGAGGTGGGTTATTGATGATATAGTGAAAATGTGTTAATTCTTTGAAAATCTTCAACTAGGTGCATAGTTACCTCTACCAAATTTGTGAATGTCATGACCGTGTGACATGGGATTTAGTGTTAGGGTAGGGCTGTGTTGAATATGTAGTGAAAAATGCATTATTTCTTTGAAAATCTTCTCTGCTCCTTGGCATATCGCATGCAAACGGAATGAAAGTTTTAATTAGCAAGGATATTTTCACACGATTTTTGAACATCAGGACCATTTGGTCAAGTGTTCTGGTCCTGGCTTGGGCTCTATTAATTTGTATTCTACTGAGAGAAGTTATTCCTCTTTGCCATCTTTTGATAATTACATGTAACCACTGTAAATAATGTATTTGAAAGCTAACAGAATAAGAGAATTATGCCAAAAATTAATTTTATGATACAAAAAATACTTTTAGTATAAATTCAAATATGAAATGCATGACAATTAACACCACTTTTGTTAAATAATTTTGTTTTACAACAGATAAATCCTTCTATGAATAAATTATTCTTAACTGTGAAGAAATATTTTATTCTTTTTCATACAAATTTTTTTATAACTAATTCAGAATACCCTGATATGTCTCGTAGCGTGACACAAATATCATTAAACAAATCGATATATAAGAAGTTGTACCATCCTAGCCCTAGTCCTCTGGTGTGTACTTATAATAAAGATGTATCTTTGTGAGTAGTGTTTTGAAAGCATTTTAAAGAAATTTCTAATTGAATAAGCATGGCAACGTTAACATAATGTTATTGAAATCAAAAACAATACCTGAAATTAAGCATCTTGGTACAGTCTACTTCAACACCAAGACTTAATAAAATGAGACTAAACTATTTGAGGAAAAGCATTTTGAAAGAATTTCTAAGAAATTTGTATTTCAAGTAGCTATGAGAACACAGTTTGTCAAAATTCAAAACTGTTGTATAGTTTTATCCAGTATCTTAATAAAGTCAACTTCTACTACAAGTGGCATTAAAATCAGATCAAAACTGTAGAAGGAGAAACGTTTTGAAAAATTTCAAAATACTGTAAACCAACTTTTATTCCCGGCATTTTTTACTCGCCATTCTTTAGTTTCAAAGTCATCTGCGACAACTTATTTTCGTGATGAATGCAGCATGCTACATAAATACAAAGGTGAATAATTGGTTCGCGACGAGAAATATTCGCGAGTAAAAGAAGCTCGCGAAACTCGCGAATATTTCTGGCTCGTGAATAAAAGTTGGTTTACAGTACTCTTTTCAAGTAACCATGGCAATACTGTTCACTGAGATCCAAATCTAATGAATAAAATTAAGTATCTTAGTATGTTGTACTTGTGTACCAAGTCTTATTGAAATCGGAACAAAACTGTGAGAGGAGTAGCATTTTGAATAGATTTCATAGAAATTTCTACTTTTAGTAATCATGGCTACATCGTTTGTTAAATTAAAAACCGATAAACACTGAATAATATACATTATTATAGGCTAATTCTGAATCAATTCTTATTAATGAACCAAAATTGAAGGAGGAATATGAATTTCACAAAATATTGATTTCGTATAACCATGGCAACACGGTTCAAGGAAATCAAAAAGTCTATACAAAGAATTATTCTTTGTATCTTAGTATAGTTAACATGTGCTTTAAGTCTTAATGAAATCAGGTCAAAACTGTAGGAGGAGTAGAGCTTTGAAAGAAAAATTTGATTCTACGCTTTCACATATTTTATTTTCAATTTTTCTTGCCCAATGGTTCTTGGGAAGGTTTTTGAAGATTTTTCCTATACGTTTCCATGTTAATTAAACTTTGGTCCCTTTTGTGGCCCCACCCTACCCCTAGAGGTCAGATTAGGACAAAATTGAATCTACACTGTGTGATGAAGTTTGACATCAGTGTTTTACTTTTGTTTGTGTCCTTTTGTGATTAAATTTAGATCAAAGTTAAGATTGTGATTAAACATGTTTTTCAGGAAGGAATATCATTCTAGCTGCAACATGAACTACAGTGTAAATTCCTAAAAAGTTAATCAATTTATAACTTCTTTTTAATTTTTGGCCCAAGTATATGTCAGAAAGAGAAGGGAGAGAGAGAGATTACCCAAGATATATAGCCCTATATATATATATAAAACAAAAAACATGATCGCAAATGCTTGGAGGAAGACACAATATTTGAAAAACATTTTTTTTTTCATGCACTGTTTTCAGAACAGTTCAAAGCTGAAAATGTATACCTTGTCACCATAGTGTGACTTTTATCCATGTTTTAAAAAACTACACATTTGAGAGAAAAGTATGCGATTAAATAGCTAAATCAAGGTATAAATAAATAGCAAAATCTCATTTTAAACTGATCTCAAAACGCTTCTGTTTTACACATAGTTAAATCATCTTTTTTCCCTAAACTAATTTTAAACAGAACATTCTTAAGTTATGCTCGCATTTTCGCAAGAAAGTTCGGGTAAACAGCTCCGTGCACTTTTTAAGCTCACATGGGTTTTCGCAAAATCTATAGTCATTGTTACAATGTGATACGTTTTATATATGTAACAAGACAAATATATGTTTAAAGGTGAATTTTTAACTTATTTTATTCTTATGTCTATTAAAAAAAACAAAATTCACAAATAATTATTTGGTAGGACTTAGATATACTCTTGGATAGAAATACAAATATTCCTTGCTTATTGCAGCCGTCTGTGTATCCGTTCTTATGAAAGTAGTAGCTTTTCTGCAGGAACAAAGCTGTTTATTTATCCCCTCCATATAATTTTTATAGAATTGCTTTTTCAATTAATTAGGGATATCATATTTCATTTTACAATCCCTTCTTCAACTCTAGAAATGAATCGCCATCCTGCAATGATAAATTCTTGAAGACTCTCTTTTGACTATGGATGACCCGTTTATTCCTTGTCTAGACACAGTAACTGTTACTTCTATTTTCCGTACATTTACATGACTCCGTTGCGTAAGATGTTTACACAGTACATGTATTTCTACTCTGCATGTTAAAAAGCTGGCATTTCAAAAAGTTTCAAACCTTGAAAATAAAAGAATTTTTCTTTCAATAGTAACAATTTATTTTTCTTGCCTTAATCCTTAATCTATCGACTTTTTTCATACTAATTGTTAGGCTATTATTTACACACTGAATTGTCGACGGATTTTTCCGTTATTTCCCGATCATGACAAGGATCATGACTGGTGTCTACAATGTACATAAATAACCTGGAGACTGGGAAGGGGGAACTCCTCTTCACCAGAGTACACCCGATAGACCGCACGCAATTCATAGCGCTCCGGAGTTCTTTCTTCACAACTGTTTATAAACTTCAAATTAAACATGTAACACTGTAAATATTTAGTGTTTGGTAGTTTAGTAGAAGTGCTAGCTGTTTTTGTTTCTCTGTTTCCTTTGTTTTTATGACTTCTTAACTTTTTTCTTTGTCCTGAGGAAGGGACAGGTCGTCCCGAAAATTTGACAATTTTTATTGTTCGTGTCGTTCTTCATTTTTAGTGCTTTATATATATATATATATATATATATATAATATATATATATATATATATATATATATATATATATATATATATATATATATATATATATATATATATATACAAGAATTTACACAAAGTTTAACGGTGGGTGTCTGAATGATTTCTTGTCTAATTCAAGAAGGATAGGTCGATCCTTGATCCTAAGGTGTCATGAATGAAATGTTAAGCAGATTCTCATTGATGCACTTTTGACGCAGGTCATATTATGATCATTTCTAGTTCAAGGAGGTGGGGATGACCTCTATGAGGTCAAAACCCTTATACCATTAAATACATATCACATAAGAAACAAGATTATGTATGGTTCTGGGGATAAAATTTTAACCATTTTTAGATATGCACATGTATATCACTTGTTGGTTCATGGGATGGTCGAAGAGACTTCTGGGAGTCATGACCCCCTTATACCATTTAATGTGTAACAATACAAAGATGGCCTTTTGGGCTTTCTGATTTATTTATTATACAATTAATTACCCCTTATAAGGTCAACATGGTGAAATAAGGACACGAGACCTGGCCCACGAGGTGACCTGACCTGAACGAGACCGCGTAGCTTTCATTTTTAAACAGAATTTACATTATTAAATTCTGTAATTTTAGACTGGTAATAAATTAAGTATGAGATCTACTTACATATTAGAGGCTCATGGGCAACATGTTCACTTGAGCATTTATATGCTCAATTTGACAAATACTTGTATATATTATGTGTAAATTATCCCCGGTTACGCCAATATGAAGGAGACGTACTGCATTTAGAGGCAGTGTGGATATTACTGTCTTATGGCAGCATCTATTTTAGATTGGTATTGAATTTCTTATAGGAAATGCTAATATATGTACGAGAGTCATAGGCCACATGCTCATCATGTCACTTTATGCTCAAATTGATACATGTATATTTATATAAGTTGTAGAATAACTATTGTAGCTTCTGTACCAAAAACAAATTAGAATAGTATTTAATGTGCGGTTGTTTCACTGATAATATCAACTAAAAATTGAAAATGCTTTACACTTTGTACATAACTGTCCAACGAAGCATTAAGTTTCGGATGAGACCTTAATAACTGAGGCCCCGTCTCACGGTTGGCGTTGGCATGAAAAGAGTCCCACATGCTATGACCGTACACGTGAGTAAGCGCCATGCATCGGTCATAATTTGTGCCAATTCACTTAAAGCAAGTGACATCTGTGTGTAATTGAAACATTTATTTTTAAAAATCATACAATATTATACATTTATTGACTGGGTTCGAGGGCTACATGCGTTTTGTCGGACCCAAGAACCAAAGTGTTTGCTTGAGGCCGTTAGACCGAAGGCAAACAGTTTGGTTCGAGGGGTCGACAAAACGCATTTTGCCCGAGAATCCAGTCAATAAATGTTTTGTTATACCTTTTATTTAATTATTGTTATACATGTATCTTTTGCTGGCTTGATTGCAAAATATAAGATTTAGCTGATCCCGCCCAAAGTGTGACGTAAGCGGTCCAATATCTCGTCCTCAGGTTCAATATCTCACTCTGCGGTCAAACATCGATTTTTTTATGACCGCTCAGTAAACCATTAGAAATGTTAGACTTTTTTAGTATAGATTTATATAGGAACCAATTTTTAAAGTTATAACAATAGAAACTGGTGTTGGCTTACTGTTGATATTTCTACACCATTCCGTGTATTCAATATATGACACGGTAGAAAATTCGAATCATTGAGGATATTATTCGTGTATGCAGGTTTCGTGTACGCTGCCTGGTCTACAAATAAAATAAGTCAATTTCTGGTGGTTTTTTAACCCATTCTCCATACCAGTAACCAGACATGGTCGATTCAAACACGTCTTTTGCTGTTTGATAGGCCTCTGCCATGTTTTTTGCTTCACGATATGTCCGATCTAAGTTACTATCGCTTGTCTTAGTAAAGAACTGGAATAGACTTCTTTTGCATAGTCGAGATCTGGAATTCCTAAATAAAATAAAAAAGGGAACGTTAAAAGTTCATGCATATGACTACTCTATAAATATTATATTCCATCATGTAAGGCAAATCTCTCTCTCTCTCTCTCTCTCTCTCTCTCAATAACCACACAAATTTTTTATACCAAGAGTTACCTAATCGTCTTCCCATGTGTCCCGTCCGTCAGTTCCACTGTGTCGTCTGCTGCGTTCCAGTTGATGCTGAGAGCGCGGGATTTATCCACAATACGGACATCATCCAGGCGTGTAACGCATCCTAAATATGGATGATGTAGTTTATATCCAGGAGGTAGGCCCACTAGCGCTCTCTCATCACGATCTACTCGACAACACATTGCTCGTGACATGTGACCATCACTAAACAACTGACCTGCGATAATTTCAGTTGGACGAGAATTATGTATACCTTCACTTGTAATTTTCTGTTTTAATAGGTGTAACGCTAAATTAATATACACATGTATATATTTATAGAAATCAATTGATATAAATTAAATATAATAAAATGTTTTGATTTCACTCTGTAAACATTCGTGCCACTCAGTTGCGGTAAAAAATGATCATGTTTTCGAAAGAAAAAAATCAGAAGTTTAAGTTTATTGTGATAATTGATTTTGCAAATAGATTTCAATAGACAATCAGTAGTAGTTTACCTAAGGTTATGGACGATAGGTAAATCGGTTCTACAAACAGCGACAGAAGCGCCCCCTGGAGTCCTAGAACGTTCCAGCGGCAGATTTTGTCGCTACATGACATCGTGCGAAGACGTTCTTGTCGGCGGATCCCGTCCAGAGTCTGGGGAGCGTTATCAACTGGTATAGTTCCCTCTCCTGTTGAATGTATAACTTTTACAAGCATTCACTATTTTGACATTCTGATCTATTAAGGTCACTTACATTGTACATGGCATATTGTATATAGTTTTCATTAATTTTGGTTGATAAAAAGATATCAAAACCCTTTAATTATCAATGGTGTTTTATATCTTCCCGTAAATATATTTCAGAGAAATTTCATATTTTCCCTCCAGTTGATTTTGTTGAGAAAACTAAAAGTCAAACTAAACGTCAAGTTAAAGGCACATATTCTAGACAGATGTCTATATTTTCTGCGCTTCTCTGTTTTTTTCTGTTATTTAAGTTAAAACTTTCATTCTTTTTATGGGTGGCCCATACCTTGTTATTCTGACTATTCTATAGGTCATATACAAGGTTAAAATTTTCATTTTTCCATGGGTAGCACATACCTTGTCATTCTTTCTTTTCTATAGGTCATATAGAAAAATCAGGTATTTTGAAAAATACATATAAATAGAGCGATTGAATTGATACATGAGTAGAAGCACTCTGTTGGTCTGGTCAAAGAACTCAGTCCACTACAATGTACATAATTTATCTGAGACTATATTTTCAGAAGTAGAAAGAAATGTTATTAGTCCCCTACCGGTGAAACCGGAGGGGACTATAGGTTTCCTCTGAGTCTGTCCGTCCGTCTAGTTGTCTGTCTGTCTGTCAGTCTGTCCCACTTGGTTTTCCGCACTTTTTTCCTAAACGCTTGCAGATATTGAGCTGATTTTTGGTATGTGAGTGTATCTTGATGTGTTACAGATCAAGTTTGCATTTCGTTTCGCTTCATTGATTTTTGACGGAATTATGGCCTTTTCAATTTTTAGGGGTTTTCCGCAATTTTCTTCTAAACGCTTTCAGATATTGAGCTGATTTTTGGTATGTGAGTGTATCTTGATGAGTTACAGATCAAGTTTGCATTTCGTCCCGCTTCATTGATTTTTGACGGAATTATGGTATTTTCAATTCTTAACGGGAACCAGATTACACTTGCCGGTAGGGGACTAGTATTGCTAATGCAATACTCTCAGAATGCTTTTCTAATAAACACGTTCTCAACTTTAGTTTCCAAGATGTTGAATACCGTGAAATTTACAAAAATGTATTTTTTTTTAATCAAAGCACTTTATATGATTAAGATAAATATTATTAAGAATACTTCATTGGTTCATTGTATTTTAGAACCTAGGACTGGTCGAAAATTCGCAAATGATAAACAAACAGAGATCATAATGTAAGTATGAGTGTCTAAGGTGTTTAACTAAACCTGTCCTATTATTTTTTTAATTTTTGAAAACATTCATTATTGAGGAATATCCCTTATTAATGATGGAATCAACCTCTAATGTTTTGATTAAGTTAAAAACTATCGGTACCATTCTCCATTTTCGTCCTTAGATATCCCTGCTGTGACCTTCCGAATATTGGCTGGTGTTTAGAACTGTTGCCAGGGTTTGCACTGTAAAATATATATACAGTGTACTTAACAATCAGGGGCCCGTTTTATAAAAGAACTTCTCACACAAGAACTTACAACGAAGACCAAAATTTAATTCTGCTTATAACTTTTTAATCCATAATATATTGCATTTTTTAAAAGGAATGTAGTAAGATATTTTTACGCTAGCAATTTTAAACAGAATCATTAATTTTGCAAAATTTTAAAGAGATTCATTAATTTTGCAAAATTTTAAAATCAACTTACTTTTTTGGTCTTAGTCGTAAGTTCTTTTGTTAATATAATATATGGTCTCATTGTTCATAATAAGAAAACGCACTTAATTGAGATATAAAATGTACATCTTACTAGCTTCCATATTTATTTATTATTTATTTATATCTATTCATATCTATTCTACCATAAATATTGCAAAATTAAAGGAAACATCTATTCATATCTATTCTACCATAAAAATTGCAATATAAAAGGAATAAAATATATAAAACTTTGTACCGTGTGAATACTGCCCCATCTCCACAGGGAGCCGTGGAAATATACAGGTGGATGGACAGATTGGGAGAAAGTTTTAATTTTCCAGATGGCGCTCTTGTTAGTAGTCCAGAGAGAGGTTGACATATTTCACTATACAAGTACCTGCGAAAGAGGGTACTCTCAAACAAACACATTATTTTTTAAATGAACCTAAAGGTAAGTAATTAACTTATGTCATATATGTGACTCACAAATGAATTCAGATACATTTCACTGAAGACTACACTAATGAAAAGTTGTGCTTAAGTTCAATTGTTAAAAAAAGAAATACCTTCTAAAACCCCGTTTTGCTATGACTTCCGCGTGAGAGTCGTTGAGGACATTCCCATCAACGCATAAATGGTTCCCAGTTACACAGCGGTTTCCTGGAAAAGAACTTTGACTGGGGACCAATAGGCCACAAAACTCATATAAGTCACTGTTAACTTAAACAGAAATGTATTTTATAAATTATGGATTTTTGATTTTGAGTATGAATAAGTCATCCCATACAGCAGAAAAATCTAGTAGTAGCTCTGAGTAGTGTGCATATGTCAGACATATAAAAAAAAGTTTCTACTATACAGTCACAGCGCAAAAATTTCAAAGTTCACCATATTGACTCCTTGCCACAATGTTTTCCAGTTCCTTCAATAATTCGCTATAGACAATGAGCACACTTGGAAAATATATAATATCAAAATCAAATCAAATACATGTACATTAGAATTCTATTTGTCTTGCCCATGTAATTTTATATATTTTCAGGATTTGCACCTTATATTCTCTAACATTCAAACCACAAGTTACCTGTTCCAATGCTAATAACCGTCAGTCTTTTCGTATTTTTATCATGTAGCAAGACGGCAGCCACGACCTTACGCCCTGACAAATCCTCTTTCACGGTCGATACCACCCCCTCATATTTTCCAATAACCTCGTTGGCTACTCTATCACTCCATGTTTCTATCGTTTGAAGTCCTCTGCAAACAGGCCTCTGAAATGTATGAGAATATTTGACAATTCCAAAACCTGCATCTTTATACATCATCCTATTAAACAAATATTATATATAATACTTAAATAATACAACTTTTTTTAATGTAGCAACCATTAAGAGTTCTCTAATTCTGAGTAAGATGTTTTGAACAGTACTTTGATTTCTGTAACGTGTTCTGAAATCAAAAAATAAATTATTAATGTAAAAGGATGACAATTTATTTATATATTAAACTTAATCGTACATCGTTTTGTATAATTGTGTATCTTGCACAATTTTAGACATATCAAAACTACAGTGTACCGCGTTCTGATAAGACTTCAACACTGGTTTTCTATTTTTTTTTTTTTTTCGATTAGAAACAATCGGCTGAGTATTGGCTCAGATGAACTTAAACAATATTCTGACTTTTAAAAAAATGATATCAGACCAAATCGATTAAAATTTCTTATATTCGAAATTGAAAATTGATGCTTCAAAGAATGTCTTCTTATAACAATATCTATTTTGGACTTTCAAGAAGCATTTTTTATTATTAAAGTAACGCAGTCTGTGAAAAATGAAGGGCATCAGGGATTTATATGTTAAATTCAAATTGAATTCTACAGCAAGTAAATAAATGAAGAAATATATTCGTTTTTTTTCTTCATTTTTCTGAGAATTGAAATAATTGAGTTTAGTCTCGAGCTGAGAAGTAATTACCTGAGTTGACTGGACCTTGTATCTGCCCATCTCCTGAAGTTTTCTCAGTGCTGCAGCGGTCGCTCGATTTTTTGCCTCGTTCATACTTTTTCCTGACATCGTTGGAAATTGTTCATCACCCAAACGGGCTGCCATGTGAAATCTGTATAAATATAGTAGTATCTTAACTGAACATATAGAACTGCAGAAGTAAAAGTTATCTATATGTAGAATATCGTCTCTGTTGACGTCTAGAATTTTGAATTCATGATTTTATATATACAAATATACCAAATTTGTTGTACTATTAACTGAAGCTCATTTACCGTTTTGTTTGTTAATTGTATTTAGTTTGTTTGTTTGTTTTTAATTTCTGCTTTGTTTTGTTTTTGTGTTTTCATTTCTGTGTTTGAGTATAATCATCATCATTATTTGATAAACTTGTAAATTTTTTTTATTTCATTTAGCAACTTAAAATGAAACATAAATTGATTTGTTTTGGCTTTATCATTTAAAGATTGATGCGGTTTATAGCTTTACATGTTTTGACTGTGTGTTGAAATTTAACGTTATGTTTGATGTCAAAAATTACTTTCTGATAAAAATGTCTATCAAGAAAAAATGCATGTTGGAGAATTTTGATTAATAGTTTGGTATTAAAGACTTTGGTTTGGCTTCATGTGATATCCAACAAAGAAAAGGTGAAACTTACTGAGCGACTACATGCTTAAAGGTTCATCACCCTAAAAAATTTACTTCAGATTCAAAATTGTTTAATTCATAATTGTTGGGAGAAGATTTGGGCCACAATGTGTGATCAAATTTTACATCGGCTGAAGGAGAACAGCAGGGTCGCACTTGCTCAGGGTAGTGATGTGGCTCATGTGCCTCTTGCTTCAGATTTAATAGGAGCTTCGGAATTGCATTTTAAGGAGGAATGCCACACCATAATTTTATTTAGTAGTTAATAGCTTTACATGTTTTGACTGTGTGTTGAAATTAAACGTTATGTTTGATGCCAAAAATTACTTTCTGATAAAAATGTCTATCAAGAAAAAATGCATGTTGGAGAATTTTGATTAATAGTTTAGTATTAAAGACTTTGGTTTGGCTGCATGTGATATCCAACAAAGAAAAGGTGAAACTTACTGAGCGACTGCATGCTTAAAGGTTCATCACCCTAAAAAATTTACTTTAATGCTCATGAGTTTTCAAAAGAAATGTAATTTAGAATTTAAAAACAAACAATTTCAGTATACATTGTACCTTGTGGGACAAACTATGTCAGAAATGATGATGAATAAATAAGTTGTCCAACTCTTTAGGCAACGAAGGATATAATATATACATAAAAAAACTATCACCAAAACAATTTGTTTACTTTGCTTATGCCTAGGTCACGTTTAAGCCGATGGTCGGGCGACCAATTTTTTCTCGTATCGTTAGCTGAAAAACATGATCGGCCAACAGTAGTATCGGGTAACGCGGAGCAGTCACATTAATTCCTAAGAACACCGATAACTTTCAAAAAATTAAATAATTCTAAGTCCGCCAACTGTTGCCCGATCATCGTTCGCTAAGCTGCAGTTTGATTTTCACCGTCGGCCGATATTCACGAAAACTCATGCAATTCCTAAATGTCGACCGACCGACGACCGACTTAACGAACTGTCTGTCGATGGTCGGATGATGATCGAAGGCTGGTCGACAGACTATTCAACGACTGCTTCAACTGAAGGAATCGGCCGCCGACGCAGAAAAAATTATAACATGGCCCGACAGACAAAAAATTGGTCAGCCGATGAAAAAAGAGAGGTCAAAATCGGGCAAGACAAAGGCCGATGAACAGCCGACTGTCGTCCGAAGAATCATATTTTTGCTTCCAAAACCGTCGATCTTTTTTTTGGAAATGTGACTGGGGTTTATGGAAAAGCTGATCGTCGTTTTATTTAATTATAAAAGCTAAAATGCAATTTTTTAACATAAGTCTATTGAAATCAAAATTATCATAAAGTTAAATTTTTATTTGCTTACCATCTATGAATTATTTCCTTGTACTATAGTACATGTATAATGTATGTTCTTACGTGTATTCATGGGGTGGTCCCGTTCTTGGTGACATTTCAATGACATCACAGGTCAGTTTTTGATACTGAGCAAACTCGTGGAATATTTGAAGAGGATTTTTCCCGGGTGGACAAATGTCATTAAAGTCGTCGATTCTTTGCATGCTATTTGTTCCCCAAAGTCGTGGCCTTGCTGCCTTTTCATCAATATTCATGAATTTGGTTAATTATATAAAATTTGTTTCAAAGAATTTATCAAGGTTAATATATAACTCTTGCTTATGAACTACAGTACCAAGTTTTCAAAACAGTATCTATCCGTTTATTATTTTGATTGTACCGGTTTGGGTATTTGTCCTTCACTCTGCAATTCCAGTAGAGCTACATTGGCTGCTTTTTTCCTTCCCTCTCTCTTGTTTCCATGCTCGATTTTCTGAAACTCACGATTACCAAGCTCGGCGTACATATGAAACCTTATTGTAAAGAAGTATTCTTTTATTTCGGTTAATTATAAGTTGATTATTTTATTATATTCTATAACATTCATAAGCATTTTAGAAATTTTAAGATCAAACTTTCACATACGTTGGACAATGTGGCGGTCCTGTTTGTGAATCCTGTACGATACGTCCAGTTTGTCCGATTGACTGTGCGTACTCCATAAAAGCACTAACAGGATCTTTGTCAGGAACAGCCAGTTCCATTTGGGTCTGTGATTTATCAAATGTCTGTAACAAATTGTTAAAAGTTTTTTTTTTTTTTTTTTTTTTTTTTTTTTTTTTTTTTTTTTTTGTATTTTTGTATAAAAACACTCTAAATGAATCCTCTAAGAAAATGTATTCTTAAATTATCGTTGAAGAGGTGCCTTTTTCACTTAATATCATTATGGATTGATTATTTATTTAATATATCGTTTTTCCATTTTGATGAGGCTGGTAAAATGTTTTCTTGCCAGAAACTTAGAAATATTTTGCACAGTATTTTCAGGTTGATCTAGCATTTGCTATTTGGGTAGAAATATCAAAAGTTATATATCTCAGCACAACAAAAAACATTGTAAGTTACGAAATACTTTAATTTAGATATAATTTAAAATTAGTAATCCTTTAAATAACTAGAAATTTAAAGCCTTGCTGACAATATCAAACATCATAAACAGGTGAAATATGAATAACATAATTATGATTCTTAAGACACAAATTATGTTTATCATCATATTAAATCATGTTTTACTATCTATAGAAAGATAAACTTCTCTGTAAGTCAAATACATGAAGTAACGTAAATGTCACTGATTTAATGGACAAAAACTCCAATTCCATGTGGATGGTCGCCCGTGTGGCACGGTGGTTAGAGCGTTTGCTCTAGAGTCGCGGTGCAAGTAGTTGATTCTTACGTCGCGGGTTCGAATCCCGGACGTGGAGACCGTTCCTCGAATGAGACGGTAAACAGTGTAAACCGAGGTCGTGGCGCAGTCGGTCCTGGCACGAAAAAAGTCACTCACTGCTCAGAGGCCCTTTGGTGCCGAGTATAGGTCTAAATTTGCAGTCCTTCATATGATTAAAATATTCTAGAGAGGGACGTTAAGCAACAAACAAACAAAACTTCTCAATTCCTGCATAATAGTATAAATACATCCCTGGTATTTGTCGGATATTGTCTACATTTTGTGCAATAGGCGACAAATAGGGATCGAAAACTTAAGTGTAATATACACAAAATGTAAATCATGCAGCAAATAAATACCTGCTTTACACTCAGGCTGCAAGGTGATTGTCTTAGTGCCATATCAGCTGCTTTTGTTCTAGCATCTTTCTTGTTCGGTGCTTCTGCAGTACAAACTATCTCTTCTCCAAGACACGCAGAGGCTATAAACCTAAATCATGTTTTTATAAAAGGTAATATTGTTTCTCGTTTAAAGACCTGTAATAATTGTTGTTGTTTATAATTTCCAGCGACAACTGAGTGTAAAATGTAGCAATTACATGCCACTGTTATCATCTATAGACTGATTTTTGCAATCTAATTTTATTTTGCTTTCAATCTTTCGAAGAGAATAAAATCTGAATGATCTGAACTTAGCTTTGACTTTAAGTTTTCTTAACTTAGCCATGACTTTAAGTTTTCTTACGTTGGATTTCCAGAAAACATTCTCGATCTCTTAACTGGTTGACATTCAAGTGTGGGTTTCCTCCCAATTTTCTGACCGTACTCCATGAAGGCACTGATTGAGTTCTTCTGCAAACGGTGCAGCGTACTTCTGTCCAATTCTTCATCTGAAAATTTTATTAGTACTGTCTGATCATTCAGTCTAATAAAATTGTATAGGATGGTTTTTTCGTAAGTAAATTTATATTAAACTTTCAGTGTCTAACAAAAAATAGAGATTAGAAAGAGACATTAGATTTGTACATACTTCAATATTGGTGTATATTTCATTGTGACAGATCAGCTTTAGCTTTGAATTGTTTTGCGATAACCTAGATTATTTGTCTTAGAGTCAAAATATATGTCTTCCAAAATCTATGATGTCTACTATTTGAACAAATTAGAACTCTCTTTGATACTGAGTTTTTCAAAACTTGTCCTCTACACACAACATCAATAGTCCCCTGTTCTCTCTCGGTGTTTGTAACACATTAGTAATTTTTGCTAAACTCCCAGCAGTGAGTTAAAACCGGGAAAATTATTGTTAATTGAAGCAACAATGGATATATCATAGCTGTATTAACACCAATTGAAATAATAACTTATGTATCACTAGAGGTAAAAATTTATCACTCCAAATTCAGGGAAACCCATTTCCAGAGGCGAAACACGTTAAGGGTCCTCCACACACCCCCCGTTTATGTTCTCATTTACTTTTAACAAGCATATCAACCATCAAAAACTTGCCAAGAATTGAAATATAATTTATACTGATTTTTGACGAAAAAAAAATAATTTCATAAGTTTTAAGATATTTTCCCCACCGAAGTAGCACAGCAAATTTTGTGTTTACCTGAAATGTATTATTAAGCTCAGAAAACAACCACAAAAACATATAGCTGTGGATAAAATTAAATCCTATTCGATTTATATATAAATGTTTTAAGATACAACGGCAATGATAAAAAACAACAAAACAGCCAAAAATTCGAAAATATGATTATCAACAAGGATTATGACGTTTTGTTTTCATAAACTTGAATGAAACTACTTGAAATCAAATTGAAAAAAAAATCTTAATATTTTAGTAGATAATATAATATTATAATATAGTATTTAGTAGATAGTTGTACTATATTTTATGATCAAGTGTGAAATTAAGTGCAAAAAAAAAATAATAATAATAATAAAGTAAAACTAACCCATGTTAAGTCTTCTGCGTTTAGGCCAGATGTGAAACATTTTTGTAGATGTGGCTTTTTATATAAAATGCCAAATGATGACGAAGATACATGTAAATGTATACTGTTATCTCATTGGCTGATTCATCACCAAGTTTATCTGAAAATGCACAGAGTTCCGGAAGCTAGGTATATGAGTTTTTTTTATCAGACCTATGTTTAAGAAGGAAATGAATTTATTTTTTTTTTCTTTTTGAAATATATACACTTATTTTTTAAGCATTGAGTTTTAGTTTTTTGAATGTTGTCGGTCGTATAACAGCACCTGGTCGTGCAAACAAATTTAATAAATCAAAAATGATAAATTGTCGGCATGGACAGGACAGGTACTAAAATCCAAATATAAGATTTCAATACTGATACATGAACATGTATTTACATTCTCTAATTTTCTCTGTTAAGGGGGGGGGGGATTCTTCTCATTTTTATTGAATTTAAAAATTAATGAAATTTTCACACATTCAAGATGTTAAGGGGGGGGGGGGGATTCTTCTCATTTTTATTGAATTTAAAAATTAATGAAATTTTCACACATTCAAGAGGACAATATCTCTAAGTGATATTATCAATAAGATTAAATTGACTTTCCTTGACTTAAGAATAAAAAAAAATTATTGATGCCAAGCTTTTGATGCCTACTTCTATTTCAAAAGATTAAATGATTATCATTTTGCATAAAAAGGTGATACCACACAGGGTCTAACAGATGATACTACCAAACTGAGAAAACTAATTTAACTAAAATAGATGAACGCTATATCGAATTTCCTCTTTTTTCTTCAATACTTAAGGAAATTCTAGATATTTTTGTGTGCTTCGTATATTTATATTTTTGAACATTGAATCTGTTGCTTTTAAGGATCGAATACCTTTATCTTTATTGCTGTTTCAACATCAAACTTCTTCAGCTAGCTTCTGAATGCCTGACTTTCCTAAAGCTTTACCTTATACATGTATACCCTTTGGCTAGTCCATTCCAAGGGTTGTCAGGTCATTCCACTATTTGAAGTCTTCAATGCGTTTTTTCTCAAATGGCCCTTAACCATTACACCTATATATTCCTATGTAAAACTTTGACCTACTGTTTTTGCCCCGCCCTACCCCCGGGGTCATGATTTGAACAAACTTGAATCTACACTACCTGAGGATACTTCTGTATTAATATGACTAATAATGACTTAGCTGTTCTTGAGAAGATTTTTAAAGGTATTTCCTATATATTCCTGTGGTAAACTTTGACCTACTGTTGTTGATACTTCTATATTAATATGGCCAATAATGGCTTAGCTGTTCTTGAGAAGAAGATTTTTAAAGGCATTTCCTATATATTCCTATGGTAAACTTTGACCTCCTCTTGTGGCCCCGCCCTACCCCCAGGGGTTATGATATGGGCAAACTTGAATCTAGAGTATGTAATGAAGCTTTCACATAAGTTTTCATCTTTTCTTGCCAAGTGGTTCTTGAGAAGAAGATTTTTAAAAGATGCCACCAAATCTTCACGAATTCTTAATTATCTCCCCTTGAAAGAGGGCTTGGCAATTCCTGTAAACAAATTTTAAATCCCCTTTACCCAAGGATGCTTTGTGGCAAGTTTGGTTGAAATTAGCCCAGTGGTTCTTGAGAAGAAGTCGAAAATGTGAAAAATTTACAGACGACGGACGACAGACGGACGCCGGATCAGAAAATCTCAATTGAGCTCAGGTGAGCTAATAAAAACCAAGGTTACTCAGTAGTTACATCGTCTCCATTAATGCGTTAATGCATTGTACCGAAGGTTTCAAATAACCGCACAGTATGAAACTCTGCCACTTAACTGAAAGGTGACTGAAAGTCTCTGAAAGGTGATTGAATGACAGGGCTCTGCCATTCAGTGACCTTTCCAGACCTTTCAGTCACCATTCAGTTGAATGAATGGTGTAGGTCCATCCTGTGTCGGAGGTGTTGCTGACCTTTATCGACAGTCAAAACTTCGGGTAACTACTGTTCCTCAAGATCGTTAAATGATGATTTCGAATCTGAAAAATTCCTAGGTGTCAAGCATTTATTTGTGCAAATTGTGTTCAAACGAGATGTAATTAAAACTTTTCTATAAATCTCATCAGTAATTAAACCAATATCAACAAATAACTAATATCAAATTTTTTTAAATAAAAATTACATATGAATTATTTTGAAACAATTCTAAGATGTGACCGCTAACTAATAACAATACTAATAAAATACTGCACTGATAATGCAATATTTAGATTACTGTGAAATCACTCATTTTCGAGGAGGGTGGGGTAATTTTTGTTGTTTTCGAGGTATGGTTAGACCCACGAATTTATTACCACCACGAAATGTAAAATGTCATATGCATAACTACTTCTCCAAGCACGAAATCAAATCCCCTCAAACCAACATTTTAATCAAACCTCGAAAATTTGACCCCACGAATATATATGATTTTACAGCAATATTTATTTTTAATTAAGATGGCCTATTTATTAAGATGGCATATTTATATGCAGTATTGCTTCTAAAACTTTTTAAATACATGTGCTCACCTTTTTTAATAACTTAATTAAGATAAATGTACAAGTCAAAGCTTGAATACATAAGAAACCTGGAAAGTCACTGTCTTCTCCGGAATTCCTTTACTGTAAAAATCAATCCACAATTATACACTGTATTTAACAATGTTCCTTTTTTTCTTTTTCTTTTTTTACATGTAAATGCCTTCAATTATAACGACGTATAATTTTCCAAATTCCCTTGTAATCTAACAACCAAACATTATGATAAACGTGATGACTTTAACTTTTCAATCGTCAACTTCCCTTACTAATGCAGGAATATACCTTTATCACCTGCATACGGTGTTTATATCTCTCAGTTGATTCGATACGCAAGAACATGGTTTCGTATCAATTTCTAAAACGAGGTAAATTATTGACAAACAAGTTGGTGACACAAGAATATCAGCAGTCTCATTTAAAGTCAACATTTCGTAAGTTCTGTGGTTGATACAATGACCTTGTCAGCAAATACAATTTATCATTAAGTCAAATGCTGACTGATGGGTTTTTTCCCGTAATTTCCCGATCATGACAAGGAGCACACGGCGGGTGTGACCGGTCGGCAGGGGATGCTCACTACTCCATGGCACCTGATCCCACCTCTGATGTTTTGGAGGTGCCTGTTTGCTCCTATTTTGTATTGTTTAATGGACTTTTGAGCTTGAATACTGTTCGTTATCTCCATACATTTCATCTTTTTCTTTATGTAAATATATTTTTTACTGGAAAATGTACAAATAAAATCAGTTTAAACTTAAGGTATTCAATGCATAACGACCATATTTTGTAGCTAATAAATGAATGGTCCGATATTTGAATCATGGTAGCATTTTGAAAGTGTTATCAAATAAAAATACTCCATCAAAGGAATTTAAAAAATTTTGATTATTGTCCAATTAATTGCACCTTGAATTTTACATTGAAGTCTATGGGCAGTGAATATGTTATCAAGATATTGTAAAAAGTAATTTGAACTTCATACAAATCTCTTGGTGAAAATATGCATAAACTCTCTCTTTATTAAAATATAAAAGAAAATAAATCATTTACCACAGAAATTTTGACAAAATTGAAATTTTCCTCTTTTTATCAAGGGCAGACAACTCTTCAAGAACATTTTAGATGCAAAATGGCCGGCTACTTATATGTTATGAGTCATGTGAATTTGGTCCACTTCACTTTCATCGTTATCTTGCAATGCATATTTAACTGGTTTAAAATTATTCAAAATTGCTAATATCCCTCCATTATACACTGAATACCTTAATTCATTTTTTGCTTCCATAAATTATTATAGATTAAAAACTAGGCTTTTTGTTAAGATGGACAACTCCTTCTTCAATTAAATTTT